CTCTTTGCAGGCATCTGCATTACATGTGCACACACATACACGCTCAAATTTGCATTACCGTCGCATTCACACGAAGTGAGTCACACTGACTGATGAGGTAGAGTAGAAATCTAGACTCTTTGAATCAATTTGAAGTATTGGGTGGCCAAAAATGTTACAACACTGACCATCGGACTTTATTAACCAGTGGACTTTCACTATTGCTGCAGAACTACTAGATTTGCCCAAATTTATTGTATACAATACATACTGTTTGAAATACAGTATCATCCAATGCCATTGTGATAGAGGAACTTGGTAGATATACACTACCATCTAAAAGTTAGAGTTTTCTTTAAATAAATTAATAGTTTTATTCAGCAAGTATGCCGTAAATTGATCAAAAGTGATAGTAAAGATTTTTTGATTGTTCCAAAAGATTTCAAACAAATGTTGTTTTTCACAATCTATTCATCAACGAATACAGAAAAAAAGTTTCCACAAAAATATTAAGCAGTACAACTGTTTTCAACATTAATAAGAAATGCTTCTTGAGCACCAAATCAGCATAATAGAGTGATTACTGAAGGATCATGTGACATTGAAAATGCTTCTTAAAATTCAGCAATGCCATCACAGGAATACATTGCATTTTATATGATTAAAATAGATGATAATTATTTTAAATTGTAATAATATTTCACATATTGATCGGGTTGATAAATGTAAATAAGTTTTACATACAAATTTCATTTAACAATTCAAAATGTTTTTGTTTAAAGGAGCATTGCAGAAGTTCTGACATTTCTTACCGTTACTGACACCAGTGGCCGTTAGAGAAACTGCAGCCAGTCTCATGCTCGTTCTCGGTGCACACTCGTTACTTGTTGGCCGCACTAGATAAGGCTTTTTTTTTTCAAGTTATGAGGAGTTTCCATGGGTATCTGGATTGTGCGGGAGGCTGGTCGCTTCTTTCCGTCCGCAGATTTGAAACACTACTGCTGCTTACTAATGGCTGCCATACAGATGTAAGCCCAAGTAGACGAGAAGGTGCATGACGTCACATTTTGTGAATTTTCACGCCAATTCAGACCCGACTCCTCCACAGGCTAATAGAGGCAACCATGGTGGACAGTCAAGGTGTTATTCTTTCTATTACATTATGGTTGGCTCATAAATGTACAAAGGAAGACTCTATCTTAAAGATTTTTTTAAGTAAAAACCTACACATAGCCCCTTTAAGAGCTGACAACTGGACACCAGGTCATGTGACTGCAATGGAGCTGTATATATATACTGTGCTTTGTTCCATGTAAGCAAGCATTCCATACCGAACATAGCCGACATCTTTTTAACAAGAGATGATATGAAATGAATAATGTCTCGTGACGTGATTGTTTCAGGGCTCTTGTAGACATGATGCCATCTGATTTGGGGCCAAGCAACCACCAGCCAAGCAAATCTGACCGGTCACACCACATAAATCCAGACCAATCTCAGGGTCACTGACACCAGCACACTAACGTAACATGGACAAACGTGTCTTGCATCAACAGTAAATATGATTTTGGATTTATACTAGCCATTTTTTTTTTTTGACTGTCCGGTGGGGTGATGTGAGGCAGGGTTGTGGGGAAATTAGCTGGAGAGATTGCAGGCTGAGCCTTGAGGGTTGTAAGGTCATGTCTCTCTGACTGGGTCACTCTGTTCCTGATGACTGAGCGTGATGCACACTCACACAAACACACATGCACACACTCTCGTGGGGGCGGAGAGGCTCACAGTGGTGCTGTGCATCTGGAGCAGTTTTTAGATGAATGGGATCTGACAACAGCACTGCCAGGCGAATGCCTGGGCAAAAGGGGTTTGTTTTTTTTTTCTTTTGAAGATTTTGGACTGATGCTAAAATAGTGAAAATTCTCTATAGCTACAGTAGATCATTTGAACACCATCTAGATACACAGTGACTGTAGTCTGTAAAACTTAGTTTGATATCTTGATAATTTATTAAAGAAGTAGTTCTCCCCCAATTAAAATGCCGGATATCTGTCAGCGGAATATTGTCTGTTACCCAAAATCAGTTAATGAAACTATTTTTGTCTGGTGCCCATTACTGTATTAATTATTGCTTCACAGCATCGTCCTGTGACATTAAAAACATAATAACTCATAATCACACAATCATTGCAAATTAAGATTAAACAACAACATTGCAAGAGCAATAAGTACGTAATAAATAATATAATAAAAATTAAGAATGGAATTATGATTATGATGATTATAAATTAAATTAAAAAAAAAAACACAACGCCGATATATGGTCACTCTTTTGAAGCAACAAATACATATGTTTCTATTGAAAATCCTTAGATCTTACCTCCTCCAATGTGTTACAAACCAGCATACCTATCTTTATTCTGTGGAAAATGAAAGACAAAATTTTAAAGAATGATAGTCACTCTTTTCCATGATACAAGATGCTTCAGAAAGATGCAAAAGAACCATTTAAGTATCAAAAAGTTGTCCATACGTCTTGGCTTGTTATGTTCCAAGCTATATAATAGTTTGTGTAGATCCCGCCCCACCCCTACCAATTTAAGTTTTAATTTATTATCAATTTTCCCCTCCAGTGAGCTTTTAATGCTGTGACCAGTCAATGAGCTGAACTCACAAACCGAATCAATCTGACTGGTTTTTAGAGCATTTAGACTGGTTTTGTGAAACACATTAAATAATTAATTGAAAAAGATCTGACTCAAAAAAGAAGCCGCATCTCAATATGCGTTCTTAAAGGTCCCCTGACATGAAGTTATTTTATTGTTTTATAATGTTTCCTGGTTTGCCCTTACAATGTTAGTACATGTTTTAGACCAAAATAGCCATAATTTAGAAATAAAAGGCATTTTTCCTAGCCTGATATTAGCCTCTGATTTGAAAGCTCTGTTTGTCTGCTGTGGGATTCAGTGTAACCGGCCACTGCTGTGATTGGCTAACATGCTTGCATATGAAATAGCTACATATTACAGGTGAAACTCTCTCGAATACTTTTACTACAAGTATTATACGTTTTTACTATTACAGCTATCGAGATTAAAGAATCGTGAGAAGTTTTTAAAATATTTAGATCTATTCCCATCACATTGAGCAAGCGGATGACAGTCTGTTGATCGCGAGAATGAAGATCTTATCATTGAAACTCAGTTTCTGCATCTCTCTAATGCTTTCACCAATGCAAACACGATGATGTACATATAGTAAGAGCTTCGTTGTGCAGTGTAACGTGCGTCATTGATTTCATGACGAGTTGTCCAGATAAACTCGCGCTGTGTGGAATGATTGTTCACTGTCAGAAAAAAAGGTACAAAACCTAAAGGTTGCATATTGGTACCATAATTGTACAAATATGTACCATGAAGGTACCAATATGCACCCTTTAGGTACAAAAGTGTACCTTTTGAAAAGGTACCGCCCCAGTAACAGCTTTCGTACCTTTTTTTCTGAGAGTGTTCATTCGATCGCTTTCTGTATAATTTGTTCACAGTTTAAATAAGATTATTTTCATCCTACTAAAAGAAACGATGTGAAGTTGATATTTTAGTCTCAATCTTATTTTAGATAAGCTAGTGCACACTGTATGTTAATAGCAGCTTCGTTAATGTTCCTCAAAAGAAATAAAAATGTCACAACTTGAGGGTTAGTAAATTATGTCAGAATCTTTGGATGAAGTATTAAAAATCAAAACCTTGGCAATCTTAGATAAACCTGAGGCTATAATGTGTGCAACGCAGCCCGCAGGTATGCAGGATTCACATGGGGAAACGTTGCTTTCGGATAGGACGTGCAGAACTCTGAGACTGCAGACTCTTCTAAAAGAGCCCACTAGTCAAAAGAGAGAGAGAATTCGATTTTAAAGCTGTATGTCTCACTTTATGTCAGACAGAAGGGTGTTGGGCATGAATACTAAACAGTGTTTTCCACCAATTACAAGCAAGCTGGGCCAGTTCGCTGCCACTGGGGGACAGCTGGAGCTCATATGCTTTGATTTGACCAAGTGAAGTTCAGATGAGAGCTTCCCATATTGCCCCAGTATGAGTGATTGTGCGAAAGAGGGGCGGTGTGAGAGCGTGTGCATATTTTGTTGTGTGAAGGAGACCTGAGAAGGTGTTGCGTACAAAGATCCGTCTTTCTAAAGAAATTCGTTCAAGTCTGTATTTCTGTCATTGAAAGGTTTTCGATAGACATCTCCAGCATTTGGAGTGCACCCTTTGTGTCACTGGCCTTGGCGGCGCTGAAAAATACTTGCATGCACATGCAAATCTGTGTCTGTTCTGCTCTCTGTCTCTCTATCTGTCTCTCTCTCTCTCACACACGCGCGTGCACACACACTCCACTCCAAATGCACCAACACCACACATTAACAGAATTTGCAAGGAGCATGAGATAGAAGTGTTAGCTTGTTGATAGATAGAGGACTAGAGGACTCAATATGTTAGTGTGTGTGTTTGTCTGAAAGCATATGGTTTTCTGAAAGAAAAGTTGTTTATTATATTATATTATATTATATTATATTATATTATATTATATTATATTATATTATATTATATTATATTATATTATATTATATTATATTATTGCACCTGTGCAAAAAGTAACTTTTTTTTTCTTTCATAGTTCAAATAAAACCTCCAGTGATTTACCTTTTGTACTGTGTTCGATCTAAAACCGTAAAAACATTCATATTTCTCAAAAAAGAGATATAAATAAATATAGTTGCATTTATTCCTTATGAACAGAGCATGTTTTACAACTTTAAAAGCCCCTCCTGTCACTTATTATATTTATGAACAAAAAGAATGACAGATTTTTGTTGTTGTTGTTGTTTTCTTGTTCTGAGACTGTGATAATGGAGGCTTTGAATAGCATCAGACATCTGTATGTCTTTCCTTATAAGTGTACCTCATTTCAGTCTGCAGATTTCATATAACTGCAGTTCATAATAAATGACTTTTTTCCTTTAACAGAAAATGAGTTTTGAGGAACAGCTTTGAGGGACAAACAGCGGACAATTCTGCCTAATCGCACCACACAGGAGGCGCTCCTCAGAAAACACACCTGTCCCACCATCAACCAGTAAATCTCAGGTAATGTGCTTTGCATTTCGTTTTGTTCTTGGCAGAAGTTACATTTTTACACTACTGTTCAAAAGTCAGATATCGGTATGATTTCTTTTTATTCAGCAAGGATGCATTAAATTGATTGAGAAACAAATTATCCGTTTCCACTGAATTAAGCAGCACATCTGCTTTTGATGTTGATTGATTTCTGAATTCATTGATGTTGAATGATTTCTGAAAAATAGAGTAATTCCTGCTGAAAGTCAGCTTTTGCCACCACAGGAATAAATTACATTTTAAAATAGAATTACAAAATGAAAAAATAATAAAAAACAATTATACTAAATTGTAATAATGTTTCACAATATTATTTTTATTGTAACATTGAAAAATCTTATCGACCATTTGAATGGTAGTGTATGTTGAATCATCTTTTGTTGCCTTTGTCCTGCTTTTTTTAAGTAATCTTGCACACTATTACACAAGAAGTTGTTAATATATATATTATGTATATATATTGTTTATATTTTTAATGGATTGATACCATTATGTTTTAACAACTACAGTACAACAAAGAGGCACGATAAACAAATCTTAACACAAGGATATTGGTCATGGCATACAGTGATGTTTCCTTGTGTTTAGTGTGCAAGGCCCTTGCAAGTGCCCAAATTTGTGCTCATTATAAACTGAATCACATTGTTGGCAACAAGGGTGCAAAATTATGCACACCATATATTTTCATACAATATAAACCATGATGCATTATGGCCACAAGTCTGTATTTTTCATAATAAACATATTATTTCATCATCTATGATCTGTCTCTCATGCAGTTCATAACCATCCCTGCTACAGACATCATTGCCCTTTTATTCTTCGTTTTACAGTTGCTCAGATAGTTGACGGAGGTCAGGCTAATTGCTGCTTCTTTTCTCCAGATGGAGGTGGATGCGGCCGAGAAGCGTCATCGAACACGATCTAAAGGTGTGCGAGGTACAGCGCACTCACATGGTATTAGCTGCAGTCTCAACCTACGGTCAAACGCATTTCCCAACTCTCAATCTATATCTGTGTCTTTATTGCCTTTCACAAATTATCACAGTAGTGATTAACATGGACTAGTGATTGCACAGGTGAAGCAGGATCTGTGAGGCTGGAAAATTAGTCTGCTCATAATAATATGATTGTATTGTGTGATGAATCTCATGTTGAGATATTTCCTCACTAATTGTTCTCGCTTTCTTCTCTTTTTTTTTTTTCTTTTTTTGCAGTTGCCGTGGAGGCTGCACAAGAGCTGTTCAGGTCAGTCTGCATACAGTATGGGAATCATTCAATTAAACTCACTATGTAAATCAGTTCACAACCTATTTACTTTCATAATGGGATTTCTGAGCAAAATAGGATATTCAAGGTGAAGCACGGTATTGCATTTTGGTATACATTGCTGTTCAAAAGTGTGGGGACCGTAAAAACGTTTTGTCTTTTGAAAAAAAGTATTCTATGGTCACCAAGGCTGCATTTATATTAACTGTTTTCTATTTGAAGAATATATTTTAAAAATGTCATTTATTCATGTCATGGCAAAGCTGGATTTTCAGCATCATTCTAGTCTCTCGTGTCACATGATCATTCAGAAATCATTCTAAAATCCTGATTGATTTAGTGCTGATTCCAATTAAATTGAATATGATCAATATGATCAATCAAAGGTTGTGCTGCCTAATATTTTTTTTATTTTTCTTCCAAAATTCTTTGATGAATAGAACAGCATTTATTTGACATAAATATCTGTGGTACTTTTATAAATGTCTTTACTGTCACTTTTGATCAATGTAATGCATCCTTGTTGAATAAAAGTATACATTTTTATGTATTTTTTCTAATCTTACCTACTCCAAACCTTTGATTAGATACCTTATAATTAGATAATTTTAAGACCAGAAAAATCGTATATACAAAAGTAAATATGGTTTATTTGCAATTTCTGTCCTTAAAGACCAAGGGACAGATTTACTAAACAGGGTAAATTAGCGTGGGAATTTATAATTTATAATTCCAAAAATATTACTGTTTTTTTTTGGGGGGGGGGGGGGGGGGGGGGGGGGTTATCAAATAATTGCAGCCTTGGTGAGCAGAAGAGACTTCTTTTAAAAACATAAAAAAATCTTACCAATATATATATATATATATATATATATATATACATATAAGAAGAGAGACTTCTTTTAAAAGAAGTCTCTCTACATATATATATATATATATATATATATATATATAAGGTGGGAGGAGTTGGATCTGGATCCGACCTCCCCGTGGATTTCATGTTCTGCAGTGAGGACCATCTCCAAATACAAGTAAATGGACCAGCACAAATTTTAGTAAATCACCTTGCTAAGGTTTGTAATCTTAGTAAATCACTAAGTAAGCTAGTAAATCACATTTAAATACGTTCCACCCATAAATTTAGCTTCTGAAAGGGAAACTCCTACAAATGCATATACAATAAGGTCAGCCGCAAAAATAATCCTGTCCACGCCTTTTCAGTGCAAATCTTTCGCTGTGTGTCTTCAGATTTACAAGCTGTTTGTAAATCTGTCGCTAAAACAGTTGTATGACGCGATATGCATTTCCGTTCAAGGTGGCATTAAAGTATAATTTTGCTAATTGATAGGTTTTGATGTAATTTGTACAGTTTGCCAAGTACTACAGGCAGAACCCAAAAATAGACCTTTCAGTGAAATTGCCATAAGTGAGAACATATGATCTCCCAATTAGTATTAGTAAATATCCCTGCACTCCTAATGAAATCATGCATCATGATGAGAGTGAATGGTCTGTTTTTCCTCCAGGGCAGTGAGTCGTTTTACTCGCATCTGCCTGTCACTTTTCCCCCTGCATATCTTTCCCTTAAGCATAATTTACAGGCCTTATAAATGGCAGCATTTTCCTCATTAAGAATGGTTTAACACCCACGCTGTTGTTAAAAAAGACTCTTTTTTTTGTGTGGTTACGTGTCCAATTACAATGACAGCGGCAAGGACACAAGGGTGTGCGAGACTGTGAGTGTGTTATGACCAGTTTTCCAGAGGCACCTTTACCATGTCATGTTTATTATGGGATCAGACCAAGCAGAGAAGTGAAATTCCCTCTCTCTCTCCTTCCCAATCATCAGTGCAGTCTGCTTGATCAGCAGGTCCAGGCCTGTAGCTGCAGGCATCTTTAACACCAGTTACACTCACTGATGGGTCACCAGCTTGATCAGACACAGATCCCTAGCCAACATTACCAAGGATACTGTAGATGCAGCTCATGTGCTATGCTAGACTCAACGTTCCCACTCAATTTCCTACTCTTTTGCTTTAAGTTTAAAATAGCTTCAGGTTTAAACATGTATTGTTAAACACGCAGTCCAATTTCAAGACTAAACGTGGTGTTGGGGAATCTACTTTGAAAATTTAGCTTTCCAATTTACAACCTACTCCAAATTTGAAGTAGTTAAACTTCCTTTTGCAGAAAGTAGTTAGCTACTGTAAAGGGCAACATATTTTTCAATATAACTTCCGATTATACTATTTATTACATCATCAGAGTCATATTTACAAAAACTAAACAAGACAACAAGCCCTTCAGCCGTGACTGTATTTACAATACAGCACAGCCCCTCATCAAACCTTATTGCTTACATATTAATTTTGCGGTTGGAAAGTCTTTTGTGCTCATCAGGGCTGCATGTGTTCGAGCTATATTGTAAAACAATATTATTTAAAATAATTGTTTAAAAACTATTTTAAATAAATATTTGGTATTTTTATACATTTTACCATCACAGGTAAATTATTCCTGGCGGTGTCACATGATCCTCCAGAAATCAATCTAGTATGCTTATCTGGTGCTCAAACTTTTCTTATTATATAATCAATGTTAAAAAAAACAAACGTTGTGCTGCTTAATTTTTTTGTGGAAATATTTTTTTTATCTTAAGATTCTTTAATGAATATCCAATATTAAGTTTAAATAAAAGCATTTAATTGAAATAGACCTCTTTTGTAACAATATAAAAGTATTTACTGTCATTTTTTTTATCAAATTTATGCGTCCTTGCTAAATAAAAACATTTTAAACAATGTTAATGACCCCAAAAATTTGAACAGGAATGTACGTATGGGGTCGTTCATCAATATAAATAATTTAAAAAAATGTGGGTTTTCTAGTTCATTTAGTTATTGTGAATGCACAATACAAGCATGCTCTTGCAGTTATGTGTGTGGCGTGAAAGCAGGCCTCACTCTCCACTGATAGACAAACAATTACCACTGCCAGTCAAGTACAGTAAGTGTGTAATGAATACTCTAGGTAATCAGTGACACTGTAACTAATCTGGCTAGTTTTATGTCAATGACTTGTATACTGGTTTGCTGGTCTGATCCTTCGCTCAAGCGGAGCAGAAGTTCTAAACTTGGATGTTTTCCCTCATGGCTTTTAACTGGCTGTGGACCTAAATGGAGCAGCCAGAGAGCGATATACAATATGAAATATGAAATATGGAGTCTGGTGAGTCACCGGCCTGGAGGACACTGGAAGCTCTCTAAATCTGTAATGAAGGCTGATGTGCCACGGTTCAAATGTAGTCAGCAAGAACCAGCGTATGTGTGTGTCCGTGTGCGTGTGTGTGACGTCAGCCTTGTATTAATTATTTCTCTTGTCCGCAGCTGTCCCACGCCTGGGTGTGATGGTAGTGGACATGTCAGCGGCAAATATGCCAGACACAGGAGGTAAGAACTGACCTCTCATTCATATGAATGTGTGCCCTGCCCATCCATCTGAAAGTCTATTTATAATGTAGGTGCAAGAATGAAGGCTCTCGACCACTTACAGAAAAGCTCAAGACCAATAGCAAAATTATGTCAATTGAATTTGACTAGGGCTTTTTTCTTCCCTTTACATACATCCTTTTACCAGCAAAAATTTGTGAAAGTGCAGTCAAAAGATTGAAATGAATAGACTACAATGAACTTGAGCTGGCATTTACTTATGCTGGGTACACACCAAAAGATTTTTTACATCTTATAAGATTTTCAAAATATGATACACCACAAACATGAGGACAAAAACTCCTAGATTTAACCGTTTTGCTCTTATAGAGTGTGGTGTGCCATGATGTGGCAAAGACAGCACTCCATACATGAACAGATTTTCAGAGAGTCTCGACTGTGAACTCAGGAAATCTTGCAAAATCTAAAAGCTAATAGCATCTGATTTGACAACTGTTGTCAAAGTCACTCTCAGTCTGTTCCACTTCCATGTTTAACAGTCTCAATCCTCTTGATACTATTTACTTTACCTCAGAAGAAAGATACAAAACAAGAAAGGCAGAACAGAAAAGATTTATGGATATGTCTACTGTGTCACCCCATCAGCCAAGCCCTGTGAACCACCAACCAGAATTGCATTTCTGCTTCAGACAAATGGTACCTCCAGCAGACCTCACTGAAAAGGCAGGGAGAGGGCGAGAGAGTGATGAATTACCCCCAAATGAGAGGGTGGGGAGAGAAAAAAGCACTCCGACTGTGCTGTCAGAGCACGCTAACATTTGGGGGGCATTTGTGGGAACATTGTGGGAATGGCAGGGTTGTAATGAGGACACTGTGTTACCTGTGCAGGCTATGCAGTGTCTGCCGCCCTTTACCAGTCCATTAAAAAGTAATAATGACAAAACAACAACAGCGTTTGTCTCCTGTGGCATATATTGGGTTATATCACAGCAGAGGTTCGCACCCCTAATGTATAGCTGCTCTGAAGGGGGTATGAACTGATCTAATGTATACATTGTAGGTTTATGTATCGTAATGGCCTCTCGGGGCAAAATATCATTAAAAAAATGATGCGTACATCAGACTTTTCCAGTTCATAATGTACACACAGACACATAAAATGTGGAAAAATTGTACCTCCATAGGTACAACAGCTTGTCACTGGGGCAGTACCCTTAGAGGGACAACTTTGTACTTTATTTATCCTGAAAAGATTCATGGCAGGGTGCATATTACTACTATAAGGCACTCATTTGCACCTTTTACCGGTAGATAACATTCAAAGTTGCCCCTTTAAGTGTTTTGTGTCAAGCTGTTACACCCTTAAAGTTACAATTTTGCATATTTTTTTCTGGCAGTGTATATAATGGATTTATTTTGTGAAAAACCTGGCTAACTGACTGTGCAAGTTATAGTTATCATTCTTCCTGTATATTATTGTAATACTTCTATACTACTCTGTAAAAAAATATTGTTGGTTTAACTTAAAAAATAAAGTAACCTGGTTGCCTTAAAATTTTAAGTTGATTGAACTGGAAAAAATGAGTTAATACAATGAAGGAGATTAATTTAATCATCAGAAACTCAAAATAATAAGTTATCTCAAATAAATAAATTATTTAAGTTGATTTGACAAAAGAAAATATGTTGTGATAACAAATCTTGAAAATATTTTTTACAGTGATAAAACATAGTACAAGATAAAAAAAAAGACAAATACTTTTTCATAATATTAAAGTTGTAATGAAATGGAAGTATCTATCTATCGGTTGTTGATTGGATGGAGGATCAGAATGTGAGCTCACAGTAAATTGTAAGGAAATGGATATTGCAATCTGACCGCTGAATATCATGAACGATGTACACGAGAGGTCCACAAGCTATGGTGAAAGTCACATTATCTAAATTTTGTTTGCAAAAAAGGCCTATTAAAAAAGCAGCTTTCTGTTGATCAATGCTGCAAATTTGCAGAACGTTTTCACCCTCACATGAAATTCACGTAAAGAAATGAACAACGGAAAATGTTTCTGCACTTGTTTATTGCAATTAATAAAGACATCATTATTTAATTGGAATGATCAATAAATATTATTTAGATGACATAACGTTCACCCAATAGTTGTACCTGATTTTAAAAAGTTGGCAAATTAAGTTTTGTATAATTATTGCGTCCAAAAAGTAGTGAGACAAATTTAGAAATGTCATTTCTCTCTTAGTTATCATGGCTACTATGCCCCTGCAATGGACCAATGGTGTTGCATTCATGTTAAAATGTTAAAAAATAACATATGTGAGGGACCCTTTAATGTGCCATTTTCTCATCATCTAAAAATACCCACCTTTACACCCTCCGTGATGCATACCCTACCTGAAAACGCGTTATCTGCACATTCTCCATTTTAATACAGCCCTTTTAGCAAATGCAGAGGCTTATAATAAGAGGATGTGTCAGTACAGGTGTGACTACTATGATTTTAACAGGGTTTAGTAATTGCTTTCTGCAAATCATGTTTAGTACCCCTTCTCTTTTTTTCTTTCTTTCATTCTCTCCTCCTCCTCCTCCTCTCCATCTGTGACTCTCTCTCTCGTTCCACTTTCCTATTTTCTATTTTTTCCTATTTTCCTATTTTCTCTTCATCTTTTTTATGTTCTCCACGTTTGTTCCTCTACCTTTCCCTCACTTCTTCTGCGGTTCTTTTTCCATCCCTCTTTCCAGTCTTATTTCTCCTCCTCCTTCCTTCTCTCTTTTTCTGATGGATGACTCACATAGGCTAAAGCCCAGGGCTGTATAATTCAGGGCTTGACAGGTAGCACTCACTAAAAGAATAGGAACTGAGCCAAGAGCTGGTGGCAGTGGCCGAAGAATGGTATAGCTGTATGCTCTCTCTCTCTCTCTCTCTCTCTCTCTCTCTCTCTCTCTCTCTCTCTCTCTCTCTCTCTCTCTCTCTCTCTCTCTCTCTCTCTCTGTCTAGTTTTTTTCATCAATATAACACCTGGCTTGCTCTACACAAGTCTGGCCTCTTCTCCTTTGTGGTAGCCACAGTGCATAGATTTTAATGCCAGCCTCTCTTATCCAGCATTGTATTTTCTCCCAACCAAAAAACAAAGAAACCATGTAGATGTATTGTTTTGTAAGGGAATATGTCAAGTGTGAAAGGCCAATACATGGCTAAAGAAAGAAAAAGCAAGTTGTACTAAAGCTAAAGCTAAAGAGACCATGAAAATCTAGCACAATTTAGACATTAAAAGGATGGATAATCATAATTTCTGATAATAAACACAATTGAGTTTACTGACCTTGATATGACAAGTCTGTTCATTCTTTGTTAGAAAAGAGATGAAATGGAGAAAAATCAGCTCTTAAAGTATAAGGTTTGATTCTTTTGCGAGATTTCGTTTTCAATGAGTATTGAGAAAATTACATTTGAGTTACACTATTCAACTTTGCTCTCAAACAGCAGTTTGGTTGCATCACAAATCGCCATTTATAAAAATATGCCATTTATTCACATTGGTTGAAATAAAACAGATGTTTAAATGTAAAAAATACACTGAACAAAATTATAAACGCAGCACTTTTGTTTTTGCCCCCATTTTTCATGAGCTGAACTCAAAGATCGTTGTGATCGTGATCGTGTTGCATTTATAATTTTGTTCAATGTATGTTTGAATCGAAGAGAGATCACCTTAATGGTGGAAAATCTCAGTTTTTAGTCTTTTTTTTTGTAGAATAGGGAATAATGCAATTTTTTGTAAAAAAAAAAAAAAAAAGCTGTATTCTGAGGTATTAAAAAAATGAGTCTGTGCATCGGTTACTTAAGAATCACTCATGTAATAAAATGCTATTTGTACTAATGGAGTGTTTTATCAATTAATTAATGTATTTTTATTTGAATGGAAGTCAATGGAACTATGGCCACAGACGTTGAGATTGTTGAGCCAGAGCGGCTGATGGATCCCTTTGTCTTTTCCTTTCTTGAGAATGTATTGAGATTTGGTATGATGGACACTTATAGACGGCATTAATTTATAGCCTTAGGCCATCATTTACACCTTCATTCTATGTAGCAGGGAGAAATCATATTTGTGTGCCGGCAACTCCTGAGCAGCATGCAAACAGATGGGCTCTGGACTGTGTGGGCGGCACATGCAGTTTTGTCCTCTGTCTTCTCTTCTCACTCACTCGCTTTTTTTTTTTGATGGGTCTTAGGAATGCAGCCTATGCGGTCTGTTGACTTCATGCTCGTCAAGTCATTCTAAATGATCTGTTCTATACATGCCGAGGGCTTGTTTGTTATCTGTGAGGTATTTGTAATTCGCCCAAACTGTTAATTTAACTGTGAGGCTGAGCCAGATGTCTTTTTTATGTACTGTAGTCAGACAGCGTAAACTTTTTTGAACCTAGGACCAATTTCATAACCCCAAAGTTTTCACTTGGAAGCAAAATGGTATAATTGAATCTCTTGTGTGCCTCTTTGTGATGTACAATGTGTCTCCAGATTTTTGATCTACTTTGCAATATTTTATTCTCAAATGCTGATTTTTAGAATATTTTGCAATCTCTGATAAAATTCATTTGATATAATAGTCAGTTCTAGTAGTTCTCGGAATTTGATTGGCTGAGCTGAGCGTTTCAAGAATTTTGATACATAGCCCAGAGTGGCCACTCTGGGACTTTTCATTGTTTTGTTTTTTTAATCAGCTTGCTTGTTTTTGTATTTCTGCACGTTTAAGACAGACTGTCAATCTGTGCATTTATTTTTTCAGCGGCTGTGTCTGAAATCGGCTCCCTGTACCCTTAAATAGGGCATTATTTGAAAGGACAGCTATTTGTTGTGGTGTCCAAAACCATAATGGATGTTATCGAGTGCACTCATTCAATCCCATAATGCACCACAAAAATGGCTAGAGAATACCCATAATGCACAAATGCATTGTGCTGAATGAATTCCTTCATCTCACCTGAAGATGGTGCCCGCAGCTGAATCATCCATCCATTAATTTTCCAAACATCTTGTCCAAAGTGGGTACAGTGTAATATAATACAGGTATACATTGGTTTTTAATGTATTATTAAATTGTTTTATTAACTTTTATACATGCTAGTTTCCATGACAGAGTTCAAGATAAATCTTTTCATTACTACTGGAGCTGCCATTTTGCCAAGTTTCAAATTATTAAACGGCAAGCACATCATGCAAAAGCGGCAGCCTTTCCAGCACACTTAGTTTCTGAACTTGCTCACTTATGTTCATGTATAGTGGACTATATTATTAAAGCTGCAGTCCAGCGTTTTTCCTCTTTGTCACCATAGCTGTACTTCGACATTGCAGTAAATCGCGCTGATTAAATCTAACAATCGCTTATAAGTTATCATATCACGCAAAACCGTGCAAATTATACTTTGTTCTTAAATTCGTAATGTTAACAACGTAAGCATTGCGTGACTACATGTAATGGCCTTCCGATATTATCCTTGTTTTCGCATGGGTCCGGTTGCAGTCTCTTTTTTTCTGTAGCCACTCCGAACTCTGACTCTGAACGAAGTCTTTTGCATTTTACAGCGAGTGAATCTGTTGTTATTGAGTCTGTCATTGAATCATTCATTCAAACACTGATTCACTGGAACAAAACACACATATACTGTAGCGTACTGCTTTACTATTTTGCCTTTAATTGGTTGAAAAAGTAAGAATATGTTTCTCAAATATTATGTTTTTTTAATTATTCATTCAGGAAAAAAACCTGGACCTTTATGAGTGATTCATAGTGAATAACTGTTTACTTGCTGTGTACTTCTGTTATAAATGTAAGTGTTGTGTCTTCTTTTTTGTCAGATTTATAATTATTTTGTGTTTTGTATATAAAATTCTATAATGTTAATTTAAGATATTCATTAGAAATATTCTTACGAAATACTCTCACATATTGCTTGGAGTGCGTTTTTTGCTCGCATATTCAGACATTTCCCTCCACAGACAGACTTCATTGCTATACAAGTTTCTGATGTGCGTCTATGAAACCTTAACCCATGTAAAATGCCTTATGACAAAAAGGATCTCTTGATAATTACTAAGCGAGCTGCTTTTCCCGCTGGCTGAATCCTGCAGTCAACACCCTTTAAATTTCCAATCCCGCCTTACTGTATTTCTTTATCATCCATATGATATCTCATGTAGATCTGAACTTGTGTGAATGGCAGTATTATGCCTCCGAACAACATGGCGAGATGTAAAGCCTCACTCCAGGGTCAGACTCCACTAGTCTCTCCGGTAAATTGAACCACCAAGGACATAATCACCGCAAACAACCTCTCAGCATGTGTGGTAGTGTGATTGTGCGCTGTGTTTTTAGGCAGAGGGGGAAACCGGGCTCCGCAGTGACAGAGAAGGCAACTGAGCTGCAGAGACAGAAAGAGCCCTGCAGAATGCACAACACCAGCACCTCCTTTGTTCTGCTTTTTGGGAGGGCGCAGAATGAAGGGAGGTTAGCTGGGAGATGTCTGTCAGGCACAGAATCACTGATCTCTCTCTCACTCTGTCTGTCTGCTCAAATGGCAAATCCCACTCCTGAGGGGGAGATCACCATGGTGACAGCGCCTTGCCACGCATGCCTGTGGATGCTGCAGTGTAGGAGCGCAGAGCAGCCGCATGCTCCTATGGCAACTCCAACACGAACAGCCAGCTGTAGCTGCTGAATTCGCCTCCACGGCCCAAAAGTTTCTAAACCTGGTGCCAAGGCAGCTAGAATCGACAATAGACCACAGCCTGAACGGCACGTGTGTATTATTGGTATTCAGGCCCATTTAAATCAAAGAGCATTTCTATTGGCTAATCAGCGATCGCTAATTGTAACAGAACGACTATTTGAAGTCTTTTAATTAAAAAATAATCTCTTGTTTTTAGAAACAGACTGAGAAATTATTTGCGTTCATCTTTCCGCCACTTTGAGACTAATATTTCCCCCATCATTATGACGGTTGCCGTGGAAATGATCAAACGGAGCTGGTCCGGGCTAATATTCTGGTCATTGCTGGTATTAGTCAAGTTCATCAGAGGATTTGTCCACCAGGAGCTGTCTGACTGAAGTCATTATTTCTCCCGGCAGTTCTTAAAGGCTTGCACATCTCTCTCTCTCTCTCTCTCTCTCTCTCTCTCTCGGCCATAATTACCTTAGTCCCACTCAAAGCTTGCCTCCAACGCTCCCGTATTCAAATATGGTTTAATTACCTGTGGAATTTTAATTGGCGTGGCCTGCCAGTGGGAAACGCGAAGGTGTCCAAGGTCATTCCAAGTCGTTCGCGAAACGCTCTCACCCACACAGACGACGCTGGCTGCCTGCCCGCGCAACACGCATCACATAGAAGCGCAGGCTCTATAACTAGCTCCTGCTTTAACAATAAAACAATAAAGAGAAAATGGGCACCTCACACCAACAGGCCGACTGATGCATTGTAGGGTAATGAGGTTAAAATTGTATGGTGCACATATTTTTAGGACACAATATGCCTACCACAGTTATTGGTAGTATTGTGAAATCATAATAATGATTATGATTTTAAAAGAACAGATTTTAAAGATTTAAGAAAATATTTCTGTCATTTTGTTTGGATATTTTGTTTTGTTGTGCTTTAGTTGTTGTGGCCATTATAGACATAATTTCTACATAGCAATTGACTTCGTAAAAATAGCTTTTAATGTAAAATTTTAAATGTTTATATACATATTACCTTTAAATTATAATTGTATCGAACGGAAGGCCTGAACCGCAATGTTAAAAAAAAAACACAAAAAAAACAGCATTTCAACATTAAAGTCGAAACATTTCGAGATGAAAGTCGAAACAGAAATGCACTTGTGAAGTCAAACTGCCATGAAGTCACACACACACACACACACACACACATATACAGTGTGAAACACCCGCGATGCACCATTATGAATGCCTGTGTATGTGGCAATGTGAAACAATGGCAAGCACACGTGTAACTTCTACCGGAAGACTGTATTCTCGAAATGTTGACTTAAATCTCGAAATGTTTCGACTTTAATCTCGAAATGTTTCGGCTTTAATCTCGAATCTTTTTTATGTTGTGGTTCAGGGCTTCCGTAGTATTGACATTTTTTAAGGGGTTTTTTTACAATTTTTTTCCTCTGTAGAGATGAAAACGTTATCAAAATGATTCCTGTTCACACAGATCCGCACAAGCGACTAAAAATGCTGTTACCGTTTTTACAGATTCACGTTTTTGAAGTTTACACGGAGATGATAACGGAATCGTTTTCAAAACTCGTTTTCTAAAATTTGCCCTCTCAGGTCACCAAAACACTGTTGTCTTGTAAATAAACAGCCTGAACACATTAAAAGTTTTGTTTGTTTTCAGTAGAAAACGCTGTTGTGTAAGCGGCCCCTAAATTAATAACTAATGATTTTTTATAACTGCAATGAATCAATCATATACTTAAGCTAGACAATTACTTTATTCTAGATGCTGTACAGCCAACATAATATTTACATTAATTTCCTATTATCACTGTAAAGCTGCTTTGAAACGATCTGTGTTGTAAAAAGCGCTATATAAATGAAGGTTAAAAAAAAACACATTAGGCTAATGGTTACTGATACCAACCACATGTTTTGTTATAGTGTGAATAAGCGTAACAGGTATGGTATTATTGTAACATTGGTTGGTTTTCATGTCATCTTTTAAGGCACAGCCCTTGTCAATCATATTTTAAGTCACGCACAGATCCATATTGCCAGAAGTCCTGGGTCTGCTGGTGCTGATTTGCGCATTTAAGGCAGTATCTGAGGATGACTGCCTGCAAAAGATTTAAATCTAGAACGTTTCACAGTCCATTGAGCCCTGACCAAGCGCAAGAGCCGAAAAAACAGGTTATAAAAACACAGCTCACGTTTTTTTTATTGTCTTCTCGTCATTCAGAATGTGTGTGAGTGTGTGTGATGACGTGCTTCTCTGATTCTAGGCAACCCAGTTTATATCTACAAAGCCTCACTCTGATGTGGATCTCAACTCCCAGTTGTTAACTGAGCTGAAGGTTTGAGGTTATGACTTAAAGGAAGCTCGAGGATAAGGTTAAATGAATAAAAGTATTAGCAAGGAATATTCTTTGAAAATAGACTCTCTATAGTCTGTTCAAAAATCCCATATATGGCATGTTTTTACAGAACCTTTGTTTTTTTGTTTTTTGTTTTAGCATAGGCCAGAATATCTTTAGCAACACAGTGTTTACAGCACTTACACATTATCAGAGATAATTATCATCACATCACTGAATAAGTCAAAAGCTCACAGTAAAACCAGCTTTTGACTTACTCAATAAAAAAATAAATAAAACCACATATGTTTATGAACATGCATATTTTTTGTAGGAAGACTAAATAAGTGATTCATTGGATGCCACATTCAAACCGCATATGGTTTTAGTGCAATTAAAATGGAATTTCTCAAATACTTAATGATTATTATGGGATTTGTATAATCAGGGGCTAAGGCTAGAATGAGCTTTGCCTTGTTTATATTTTGGAGGATGAGTCTCATAAACGAGTCTTGGCGGTTTAGGAATAGCACTGTCTTGTGGGACCAGAGTTCAAGCAGCACACGCATTTAAATGAATAAATGCGCCAGTGGTTATTAATGCTTTGTTATGTCTTAAACAATTCTAATATTTCTTATCTCTGAGGGCTGAGCTTTGGCACAGACACTCTTCACACATTCAAGGTAATTTTTGCAGAACTGTTGCGCATAATTCTCTGGGTTTTTGTTTTCTTTTTGTTGCGTAGTGTGTATGGATGCCCCTTGGCTAAGAAAAGGAAAACCCAAGAGAAACCTCTGCAGGAGCCAGCTTCCAAACGCCGTCCGTTTCTAACTATGGCTGATGGAGAGCCCGCCATGTATGAAAGCTATGAGCCAGAGGCCATGGAGGAGGGAGAAGAGAGGGAACAGGAAGTAGAGGAAGTGGACGAAGAGGAGGAGGAAGGGGATGAGGACGGGGATGATGAAGAAGAAGAAGAGTGCTCGGATGACAATGACGAAGCAGGAGAGGAAGAAGAAGACGAGGTAGATGGAGAGGTGGAGAGAGGGGAGGGAGAGGAGATCGAGCAAATGGAGGAAGAGGTAGAAGAGGATGAGGAAGTGGTGGAGGAGGATGGGGATGATGAAGAGCAGGAAGACGACGAAGATGAGGACGATGAAGATGAGCACGAGGAAGAGGAATACTATGAAAATCAGAGTCATCCGCAAGGTAAGTAATGTTGTCTGATATTGCATATCCTTAAAAACTTTCTTAACAACACATGATTTGAACTTTTAAGAACTTATGACATGATCTCAAGAAAAAAAATATATATATTTATATATATATTGTTTTTGAAGAACTTAAAGATATTACACAATGTTAGCCAAAGTTCTAAGAATGTTCCCTGAACACATTTATGTTCTAAGAATGTTTTCTAGTGTCCCCATTATGTTATGAACATGTGTTGAAAATTCCATAAACGTTGGAAATGTCCAGGTTTTTCTTTCTTTCTTGGTTTCATGAACATTCTGGAAAACTTTTGGAAATTGAATGTTTAGGATCTACAGGAAGACATGTAGTTGCTCTGACACACAGAATGCTGCATGAAATATGAATCAAGGGCAGCTTATTGTAGGTCAACCAACATTTCAAAGTATAATTGACATGGTATGCAGTCATTAAATTCAATGTTTTCTTTCCTAAATTGCCTGTTTTCGTTTCAAGTCATGCAGTATTTGTGGAATCACAATGAAATCTACATACACCCTGCAGAGAATGGCCGGCCCTCGCCATCCTAATTAATGTGGATTTTACAGCAAGGAACAATCCAACTCCCCTTACGAAATTGAGGGAAAGCAGATGTGACTGCTTCCTTAGTATGCGTCTCACCCTCATTCTCTGGTGTCCTCAATCGCTTGTGACAGTGCTTCCAGAGTAATAGAGAGAAGAGGCTCTCTGAGTTATTAACTTTGGCCCCCCTCCACACATGCACGCTGCCATCCCGGAGGTGTCAAATACACTCAACCCCCCCGCCCCTCCCCGGTGAAAATGGGCTCCTCCTGAGGATATTTCTGGCTCTAGAAACAGAGCACCTCATCCTCTGCTTATCCCTGCAGTCTCATCCGCCTCTGTCCCAAATACTAGCAACACTAAAATCTTTTCAGCACGATTGAGAGGCTTTCATGGCAGGCTGTGCTGCTTACATTTTACGAAACATACACATGTCTTGTGAAGCATTTAAAAGGCTCCCTGATGATTCATTACAGTACAGCTTACCATATTGCAGTTCCTCTAAATTTCTTTTCCGGAAAACTCAAAGATTTTGCTGCATGGTGGCAGTTGCCATCTTACTAAACTGCATTTGATTATTGAAATCAATTTGCACCTGTGTCATCGAGCTGTACGTGAAACCCTGGCATGACATTTGTCTTAGATTTGCTGCATCAATGCTATCGCTCATGAGATGTTACGTTTTCATAATGATAGTGTTCAGGCAGCTTCAGATTATAGAGAGGACTGACATTTCGTTTGTGAATTTATCTTGCCGCACGAGCCGCTTGCTTCGAAAATAAATCGAAAGGCCCTAGTGCGCGACGTATTCCAGGGTGTGTTTTAGGAGCAAATCTTCAAGCAAATTCCATGTATTGTTCTCCTTTCTCTACAGATGACAACTATTCCTGTGGTGGACAATCAAAATCCAATCAAACAGTTGAAAAGGACAATAACAATAACAACAGCATGAACAATGAGGAGTATGAGAATTACGACGAGCTGGTGGCCAAGTCCCTCCTCAACCTGGGTAAAATCGCAGAGGATGCCGCCTACCAGGCCATGACCGAGTCCGAGATGAACAGCAATTCCTCAAACAGCGCAGGCGAGGATGACGACGAGGACGAGGATGATGGGAGCGAACAAGGAGGCCAAAAGGGAGAGTTGAGCGTCGACTTGGATAGCGATGTGGTACGCGAGACCGTGGACTCCCTGAAGCTTCTGGCCCAGGGACATGGGGCCGTGCTTCCCGACGAGGGATACGCGGACGGCGGGTCTGGGGATACTTGCCCAGCCGGCCACGCTAACGGGCGGGGCCACCCGGAAGAGAGCGAGGAGGAAGTGTGCCTCAGCAGCCTGGAGTGTCTACGAAACCAGTGCTTCGACTTGGCCCGCAAACTTAGCGAGACCCAAACGTCCGAGCGGCCCGTGACAGAGCACCAAGGTCACCAGGCCATGCTGCACCATGTTGAGCAGCAGCATCTGCATCCACATCAGCCTCCAATGCATCACATGCCCAGGTATGACAGTTGCCAGATGGACCAGCACAGACCCCTTGAGAGGAACTACTCAGACATGGTCAATCTGATGAAACTGGAGGAGCAGCTTAGCCCCGCTTCGAGAGGCTACCCATCTAGCTGCGCTCAGGAAGGGGATGAGGACACCACATCAGTGGCTTCCGAACGCTCAGACGAAGCTTTCGACATGACTAAAGGCAACCTGTCCCTGCTGGAAAAGGCCATTGCTCTGGAATCCGAGCGTGCCAAGGTTATGCGAGACAGAATGGCATCGGAACAGATGGTGGCTCGGAGGGACAATCAGCGTCTTCATGGAGAGCACAGCCCAAGGCAGAGCAGCAGTGCAGAAGAACGCAAAGCCCGACTCCATCACGATGGTGCAAAAAGAGCATATTACCCTAAAGGTAAAAATTACATTTCTAATGAGATTTTGCATTTCAGCAGAGATTTCAGTAGCTGGTTCCCTTTCATTATCAAGTATATGGAAGCCATATTCGGCTACTGAGGAAATTCTGGTCATTTTTTTCTGGTAATTGTACCTTTCAAATCTCACAATATGACAATTGACATTATAAAATTGCAACTATATATCTCACAATGTGGCTTCATATCTCACGATTGCCCCTTTCTTTATACTAATTGTGGCTTTGTGTTCTAATTATACTATTATTGTGACGTATTTTTTATTTGGATCATTTTCTCACAATTAACAGTTTTTATCTCACAATTTTTAGATAAAAAGCCAGTATTTCCTGTTTTATTTCTTTATTACTGGTAATTGTGACTTTAAATCTCTGATATTGGCAACTTTATATCTCCTAACTGTGATATATGCTTGAATGCGATTTCATCCCCCATTTTCACAGACAAGACTTAAACCTAGTCCCAGACTAAAATACATATTTGAACTGTTTAAACTGAAGGCAATTTACACTGACTTGGACCATGCCTGGACCATTGTTTTGTCTCAAGATGCACATCTGTTTTTTTCTAAGGCAACTTAAAGTCCCTGTGAACCGGAAGTTACAAACGACTTTTCTCCAGTATTGTGACACATTTTTGAAATGGATATTGAATAGAGGGCAGCGTTTTACTTTAGCGCTCCTCCTCTCCATCTCTCGCTTATAGCAGACTAACGGTTTGAGGGGAGTTGCCACGCCCTCGCGCCATAGGACATGACAGGAAGAGAAGTCGTTTCGAGGAGGGAGGGAAGGATGACATATTTGATTAAAGATTATATGGGTAAATTAATTTTAAAAAAATAATGAAGTGCACAGATAAATCACTTATAACAAACACTACAATATTACATATAATCATACGAATTGCAACATTTTTATTTCATGGCGACGTTATATGTCCTATTTAACTAAAGCCTAATCCTGGCTTAATCTAAGCCCTGTCTGTGGAACCAGGTTCATATCTCACAATTGCGGATTTATTTTTTCCTATTTGTGATGATATCCCACAATGAAAGTTTATTTGTCATAAATGTGAGATACATTCTATTGTAAATTTAAACATTTTTGCACACTTTACAGATTCATTTTTTATTCTAACTGAAATCAAACGAGTATATTTGTTTCCATAAATGAGCGTATTTGCACAAACAGTGATCTTTTAAATATGAAAATAATTTTCTCATCCTGAAAGCTGTTGCGGCATTTGTTCTCCAGTGTCTTGAGTCACTTAACATTCCGTTACACACTGTGTCGATTACATTGACGACTATGGGGTCACTTTGGTGAGACAGAAACATTTTTGGGGCTTGTTTTAAACATCCAGGTCTCCCTGAGCAACTTCCATAATGACAACAGCTTATGTTGCTAAAATAGGTTGACATGGTAACATCAGAGACTAACCTTGTCAGGCATGAGTAATGGCAATCTGCATGGCCTTTTAGGAAAGCAAATCTCATCCCTTGGATTCCATAGATGGTTTATTACCTTAAATCCTTCCCAATCCACACCCACTACTTTGGGAGTGAGCCATATTTTCTGATATATGCGGATATTAGCGATCAGAAACTACAGGAGCACGAGGATCCTCAGATTACCCGTAGTTTCCCAACCTAACTGCTCTTCCTATCTAGTATTTCAAAAGGTTCGTCATTTGTCTCTGCTTCATATGTTTCATTACCTTCCATTTGCTCAATTTGCACTGTGTTTTCCATTAAAGATAGTGTCTCTGTGTTTCATATCGCAGTTTCCTGTTGTTTTCAGTCCATAGCAAGTCAGAGGGTCATGTAATTATAGAATTACACCACGATTTCACACCTCATCTCCAGAAACTATTCTTGGCTCTAATTATTGGAGCGTCGTTATTAAACATGTCGAGTGATCTCACTGTTCTGACTGACAGGGTACATTATTATTGCATGCTTGTGGAGTTTCACTGCAGTTATTTTTGGCTAATAAAAGAGGGAAGTATATACAAATGTGTTGTCTTAGCTAAACCGATTTTGAATTGCAGAGAATGCATGTATTGTATTCACAATGTTATTGATCAGCCAATGGGTGCTATGATAGTTCTCTGCTATCATTTGCTGGTTTTCCCTTTTTGGTCTCATGGTAGAGACATCGCACGCCGCGAACATATTATCTTGCCAGTTTTCACTCGAAATTTGCATGCTAATAATAGGGAACTGTTATTTGTGGAAATATTAACTTATTTAACAGCATGATTGTGAATTGGTCACTTGTATGTAACATCGATAGCACACATTAACATCTTGGATGGAGTTAAAATGCTGTGAGATGAAAACATTGATACATTTATGTGTATAATGTATATTTCCTTATATTCTGATATATTATATTCTAGTACCTAGTTTATGTTTTCATACACACTGTAAGGTGAGTATAAAATCAGCTTTGTTTTCTCAGTGTGCACAATTGTATATTCCATCTCTATATAACCGTTTGATGGTAGAGATTATGATAATCACCCACACATACTGTATGTATGCATGTTGTAAGGCCGAATATTATATTATATTATTATATTATATTTATTATATTACATAATTAGTTGTAAATACATCTAATTGTTAATGCATAACAATTTTAAAGAGAATATATATTTTATATCATATATATATATATATATACAAGTTATGTGTATTCATGTTGAAATTTTATCCTGCTGTACAGCTAAATTTAAAATGTTAATTCTTTTTCTATATACACTTAGTTTAGCGAAGTATTGAAATTAATTGAAATGAATGATGTAACTGTTTTATTTGACTGAAGAAATTCCTCTGTGCTGTGACAGGTGGATTTCTTTTAATACAATCCAGTTAATGCAGTCATCATGATTCAAATCAGGGCAGTCAATTCAGAAATGTAGAATTTTTCCGAGAACACTGGTCTCGTGCATCACTGTCCCTCCTCTCAGGCTCAGTCGCATTTTCAGGCTATATCCTTGTGTCCAATTTCAAAGCAAACAGGAAATAGACAGTGATGTTTGAACATTGCAGTAACAGGAGCATAACTGTTATCACAAGGAATCCAGCAGGTTAATGGGATTTGCTTACTGTGCCTGTAACAGGGTATGCCAATAACTGTCTTTGCTTGCAGACTCAAGGGGAGAGAAAAAAGAAAGCAAGTGTCCGACTCCGGGTTGTGATGGCACGGGCCACGTCACGGGGCTGTACCCGCACCATCGAAGCTTGTCCGGCTGCCCCCACAAAGACCGCGTGCCACCAGAAAGTAAGCCGAATTTAGATGGCTGTTTGCGCTTGATAAATGTTCATTTTTGCTTTGAGCTGTTTGTGGTGTGGGCATGTTTTACCCCTCTTTTCTGGCATTTCTGTAATGCATACGACTTTGAATGCATTTCCTCCTCCACCCAAAGCGGTGGCGCTCTTTCTCATACAAACAAGCTTTGCTTTTCTGGATGTGCTGATTGGTGATTTGTGTAATTTTAGCCTGTTTTCTCAATATGGCTGCACTGATCTCTTGGGCACAAAGCAGATTTTTCATCCCTACCTTTAGTCACACCTCTAATTGGATGAGGATCATGTGACAGGAGGGTTCTGATGAGTCAGTTTACTGCAGGCCCAGAGACGTAGAGCTGCAGGATGTGTCATAGACTACCTAATGGCTAGACTCATTCAGTTCACCAAAAATAAATCCATTATTTTTGAAGAGAGATTTGTTTTCCTCTAATGCCAATGCTTTCACACAACGTGCATGCCATTAACACATTGCTTGCCTAGAATCTTTATTCACCATATGGTGATTAACTTTATGATTAACTGATTTCAGCTGGAACGTTTCTTAGGAGCATGTGCATGCTGTTGTCACTGAGCCCGTTCAGCTTAATGGAACACAAGGCTTTCATACTCACTCTGGTTCCTCCTAACCTTCTCTCGCCCTCTCCTCTCTGTTTGTCCAAGTTCTTGCTATGTATGAGAATGTTCTAAAGTGCCCCACGCCTGGCTGCTCGGGACGCGGCCATGTAAATAGCAACAGGAACTCCCACCGCAGGTGAGTGGCTGGAAGGGACATGGAGAGAAGAAACTGGCGGCACTGTGGGGACTGATGTTCCAGTCTTTTTACACATTTTATACAGGGCATTTGAAGAATACATGGATTTAGATGGAGCCTTGCTTTCAGGAAGGAGAAGAGGGACTGACTTGTTTGTGTTATACTGAGCTTGATAGTAACTCATAGCTCCAGGCTCAAATATTTAATTTGTACATTGGCAATTTTGACTTTTTTAAATACCCACCCGGAAGGAGGAGGGGCATGGTGAACTTTTGAAACCTACAAATAAGCCTCTACCATTAATAAAATAAGACGCTGTTTGTTACAAGATGAAACAGAATTTAGCATTACATTATTTTGACTGCTTCTACTGCTCTCTTCTTTTGTAAGTCGCTTTGGATAAAAGCATCTGCTAAATGACTAAATGTAAATTTGAAGGCCTCTAAAAATGTATAAAATAAATAATTTATTTCTAATTAATTTATTTTTAATTTAATTAATAATTAATTTGTAATTAATTATTTATTTGATAATATTTTTGTTTAATATTCATTTTAATTCTATGTAATTGATATGGTATATATATATATATATATATATATATATATATATATATACAGTATATATATATTAGGGCTGTGCAAAAATTAATTGCGATTAATCGCATCCAAAATAAAAGTCTGTGTTTACATAATATATTTGTGTGTGCTGTATATAATTATTTTGTATATATAAATACACACACATGCATGTATATATTTAAGAAAATGTCTTATTCATGTATAAAATATTTATATTTACATAATATAGATTATGTATTTATAAATATATACAGAATTTAAGCGCAAATAATTCTTAAATATATACATGCATGCATAGGTATTTATATATACAAAATAACTATATATAGCACACACAAATATATTATGTAAACACAGAGTTTTATTTTCGATGTGATTAATCGCAATTAACTTTTGCCCAGCCCTAATATATATATATATATATATATATATATATATATATTATATAATTGAATATATAATATTGTTTTTGTTTTGATATAAAACTGTAATGTTGTAATATTTGTACAATTGAAACAGAGAATATGGCCTTTCCAAATCTACATTTTCTTAAGAATGAGAGCTCCACACATACAGTACAACATTATGCAGTTAAGATGTGCCTCCATCTGCACATGGTGTACATTCAGACAGATGCAGTCTCCACCCGAAGTCGCTGCAGGCCATGTTATATGGAACAGCTCCTATGGGACACACACACACACATTATTAGAAGGGTTGAGCTGAAGAAAACAATGTATAATAGAGGAATATAACAACCTTGTACATTAATACTGTATATATGGTTTGTCTACACATTCCTCGTTGCATGGTTGCCATGGCAACTCGGCATAGTGACAGCCGTCCTTCTATCTGTCAGTCACCACTAACTCACTTTTTTCCCCCTTAAAATACCATTCATGTAAATGCACAAGTACCCTGTGCTTATAAGCTTTATGTGTTTCTAAAATTGCAGAGCGTGTGGGGTTTTTTTTCTGTTTGTCTCATTTGTTTATTTTTTATATTTTGAGAGTGACTGAATGGTTTCCGTATTACCCGAAGACAATAAGAAAATTGCCGACGATAAGAAGACAGTTTCCAACCATACAAAGGATTACAGATAGAGAGAGAGGGAGGGATGACTGAAAAGTGGGAGAAATAACAAACGGAGAGGGAGATAGTGAGAGTAATGAGAGGAAGAAACAACAAGGGAGAAAGACTGCGAGTGAGAAAGGAGAAAAAAGCAGAGCAAGGGAGCGTAGCTGGATGTTCTGAAGCTCAGTTTGCTGTAGTGTGTCTCTCTGAAATGACTGCGGTATCTCGCTGTGAGGAGCTTTCTGAAGCCAGCCAGCCAGAAATGCCCAGCAGATATCTGCAAAGCTTTGCCTTCATACTATAGAACTAGGCCACATGAAATGCATAATTCATACATAAATATCCCCATGTCCCACACACACGCATACCAGGATTTTACAAACATGTTGGAAGTCCGTATTCAGAGAATGTCATAAAAAGCGGACTATTCTCTCTGACAGACTCATCCCCATACGCTGGTATTATACATTCCCTCATATCTCACTTTGTTCTTCAACTTCTGCTATCTGCTAGGCCAGGGCGTGTGTGTGCGTTTGAAAGTGTGTGTATGTGTGCGCCCTTACATGCTGCTCGTAACGTAATGTTAACACTACATAATTTGCTCTGCTGCTGTTGCAGTCTCTCGGGATGCCCCATAGCCGCCGCTGAGAAGATGGCGAAGGTTCAGGAGAAACATCTCCCCTGCGAGAGCTCCAAGTCCAACCAGGCATCAGACCGAGTCTTGAGGTACTGCGTGACCCTCCGTGACATATCTTTAATAAAGATATAATGCAATAAGTCTGGCTTTGACTTGTTGTTGGAATGGTACATTAAATCAATTCACATTTAATTGTATTTGTAGTAGAGCTTTCTGTTCCAGATTCCAGAAATAATTTGAATAAATATTTTTGAAAAACCAAATGAGGGGAACAGTCCATTTAAGATGAATCTTTTAATACAATTAATACAAAAGGTTGCAAGCATTAATTCATGTTGACTTTAAGTACAATATGTCCAGGCCCCTGACACCCAACCTTATTTTTTTACATGTTTCAGGCCCATGTGCTTCGTGAAACAGCTGGAGATCCCACAGTATGGGTACAAAAATAACGTCCCAACTAGCACTCCACGATCCAACCTGGCCAAGGAGCTGGAGAAGTACTCCAAGGCCAGCTTCGACTACAGCACCAGTTATGACAACCAACCTCATGCATACGGCAAGAGGTCCCTCACTCCAAAGAGCCATGGGCGGGACACCTCCCCCAAAGGATATGATGGTAAGCTTGTCTTTATTCTTTCCTCTGTCAATGAAGTTGGCAAGGTAGCAAGTGTCAGAATTGATAAACTGGCCTTTCTCTTGGGGATCAGATTTAAATAAGATTAGAGTTAGTTGTGTACTGCCTGTAGCCTGGGTTTCCCCATGCTGCTTTGCCGCAGCGCGATTTTATTCATTTACATTTATTCATTTAGCTGACACTTTTATCCAAAGCGACTTGCAATTGCATTATATGTCAGAGGTCGCACACCTCAGGGTTAAGTTTCTTGCTCAGGGACACATTGGTGTCTCACAGTGGATTCGAATTCGGGTCTCTCACACCCAAGGCATGTGTCTTATCCACTGCGCCATCACAACCCCAAAGAAAAGAATTGTAAAAAAAAAACAAAAACAAAGCAGCGTTTGGATTCACGCTGCTAGGCAGCCTGGACACCATGAACCAAATTTTCGCCTGAGATAGGGAACCAATCACAGAACGGGAAGGGAGCAGCAAGACGATGACAACGTACATGCGACACACCAAAGCAGTTACTTTGTTCTATCTATGGATCCATCTTGGAAGCGGACGTTAAGTTACCTTTTGATACAGCCTTTGTACATAAATCTTCTTCCTTGTCTTATTTTCTGTCGCTCTACACACGTCATCTGGTATTATTAAACCGATTGGCTATGAGACATTTGATAGACATTCGTAGCACCCAATAATACGGCTCTGGGCATTCGTAAGCCACGCCTCAAATACGAGAAAATGAACCTGGTTTCCAAACCATGTCTCATTCTCAATGATACGTGGTCTGGCGTTTGCCAGGCTATACTGCCTGACATACTTGTGATATATATACCATTAAAAAAAGATTACTTTCTGTATTCTATTTTGAAGTAAAGTCCTTCCCTTAATAAACTCATTCGTTCAGTGCTCCTTTATTGGAAATCCTACTTCACTTATTGGCTTCTGAAATGATTAATAACCTAGGTACACAAACCCAGTGAAGAGATTTCCAATTTGCATGCAGATCCTTTAATGGAATTATGGCTTGATTGATATTTTTGACCACCAAATGCATGTCTGTGAAGAATGTTAAAATATATTTTAATATGATTTATCATTTTTCATGAAATTCTTTGTATGCATACTGTATTAATGCATATTGATATTGAAGGCCGTTATGTGACCTTTTTGCATGATGCCTAATGTCTGGGTGTAGGTTCTTAGTTTCCTCAAACATTTTGTTTCTCTGTCTTTGGTTCAAGCTTCATTTTTAAAAAATTTTGTTCAGCGCCGTAGCTCTCAACTACAGCCCCGGCCTTGATAAATGAGTGCACTTACATTTGTGAAAGAATCAAATTAACTGGAACGATTTTGTTCAAAATGGTAGAGGTTGATTTCACGCCCAAGCCAGAAATTGTAGAGATTTCCTGTCAACAGAATTCGGCTGGATATTTTGGTACGGTTTCATTAGCTGTGCTTAAAATAACTCATTTTCATTATAACTCATGGTTATTACATCAGAACAGTCTTGATTGCCCATACGGAGCATTACAGCATGCCCTGCAGTGATAATATAGACAATGTTATTGAAATCTGAACACCACATCTCTAAAATTAAAGAGCATTCTTGCAAGTGAAGTTACTAGCATGCTTTATCTTAGAAATTCTGTTTTTGATAAATGAGACAAATGAAGAAAATTAAACCTTGGGAGAAGAAAAATGAGAATAACATTCAATTAATGTAAGGAATTAACGACACTTCATTTAGACTCAGTTGGCAACATCAATTAGTTACACCCAGTTTAGTTGTAATGGCAGCATTGCTATTTGTCTCAATTCAAAATGAGATGAAGAATTGGATCAAATGGGAGAGAAGTATACATCTTGAATAATTGATTATAACTGTATTTTAGCAGCTAATTTGTCAGCTTCCAGTATTTGAGGATACTCAGTTCCTTAATCAGTAACTGGTTTTTTTCTCAGATATTTTGTCTGGATGCGGACCAGAGTTTGTCTATGAATGTGGATTTATATAAAAAAGAAATGCTGTTTAAATGCTCTCCGTGCAGGTCTTAGATTTCATGTTAACAATGTGTAGCCCTTTGCATGAAACCTAGATACACTGTCAAACCATTTCTCCTCCTCTCTCTCTCTCTCTCTCTCTCTCTCTCTCTCTCTCTCTCTCTCTCTCTCTCTCACACACACACACTCTCATAATTTCTCACAGCATTCATCATGAAACATCAGCTCATATAATAAGCCTATGTGTGTACGTGTATGTATCTATCTATCTATCTATCTATCTATCTATCTATCTATCTATCTATCTATCTATCTATCTATCTATCTATCTATCTATCTATCTATCTATCTATCTATCTATCTATCTATCTAGTATTCCTTCTCTCTCTCTCTCTCTCTCTCTCTCTCTCTCTCTCTCTCTCTCTCTCTCTCTCTCTCATTCTGTCTATCTGTCTATTGCTCCATATCCATCCATCAATCCATCCAAGTGCAAGCAGCCCATCTGACCTGGTATATGTGTGTGTGTGTGTGTGTGTGTGCAGCCAAGCGCTACTGTAAGACCTCCAGCCCAGCCAGCAGCACCACGAGCAGCTACGCTCCCAGCAGCAGCAGCAGTCTGAGCTGTGGAGGAGGGGGAGGAGGAGGAGGAGGGGGAGGAGGAGGAAGCAGCGCCAGCAGCACCTGCAGCAAGAGCAGCTTCGACTACACACACGACATGGAAGCCGCCCACATGGCTGCCACCGCCATCCTCAACCTGTCCACGCGCTGCAGAGAGATGCCCCAGAGCCTCACCGGGAAAGGCCCGGAGCTCCTGGCACAGGTGAGGGTCGACAACTTTTTCCTGCCAGTTCCTCTCTCTCATGCTCACCCACTTGTACTGCTAATATATTTTTCTTTCTCTCACTGGGTATTTCTTAGTTTCTCTGCACTGCCTTCCTGTATGACTGTGCTTTGTGCCGGTAAAGCAAGGTAGTGCGGCGAAATGAGGGCATGCCCATTTAGAGTCATTCTGGGCAAACCCCTGGTCCTCTCTTCCGAGCTACTGAGCTCATTTGCACAGGGTGTGATTTAGTACATTGAATGACAGCAGCACCTCTGTAAGCTCCTGCGGGTCCTCTCTGGTACAGTCAGGGTCATCATATGAGCCTAATGGTCTGAGCCGGCCATGATTGCTTTAGTGACGCATCGATTTCAGACATAATCTGTATGGTGATAAAGAGAGCGAGGGGATGGAGTGGACCAGAGGAAGCTGGCAGCTGCAGGAACGCTGGAGTAGTGGTGCCCATACCCTTTCTCGCAGAGGCAAGTAGAATTAAAGTCGATTTCAGCTGTGGTCCAGGCCAAGCCAGCTCTCCCAGCATCCCTCTGGGTACATAGGAAAGACAATGACCTCTCTTTAAGGACAGTGAGGCAGCAGGCTGGAGGGAGAGGGGATGAAAATGAAAGAGAGAGAGAGAGAGAGAGAGAGACAGAGGTAGTGAGCTGCAGGGCTCTATATAGTCACTAACAAGCAGCTGTACATGGAGATGTAGGGCAGCGCAAAGAAGATGCTTGCACTCTCTTTTTTCATATCATTTTTCCTCCAATACTTTCACACACTGTAAAAAATGGTGGTTGTAGAATTTATAAAAAATGAAGAAAAATGAAGGCTACTGTTTCAATGTTTTTTTTTTTTCAGTTAAATTAATCTACTTGTAAACAGATTGTCAAAAAAAAAATCCTTTTTCAGTCTCCAGTGTCACATTAGCCTTCGAAAGTCATTTTAATATGATGATTTGCTGTTTTTTTAAGGATGCTTTGATGAATATAAAGTTTAAAAAGAACATAGTTTATTTGAAATTGATTTTTTTTGTAACATTATAAATATCTTTGTCACTTTTGATCAATTTAATGTATTCTTGCGGAATAAAAGTATTTATATATATATATGAAGAGTTCAGATGCAAAAGCCTCTAAATGCCATTTGAAATTTTCTTCTAAAATGACCATTTTTATCAAGCTTGTATATTTAAGTTCAGTAATTTCACTTAAATGACAATTAATAGGTAATCTTCATTGCCATTTAAGTGAAATTACTGTACTTAAATATACAAGCTTGATAAAAATTATCATTCTAGAATAAAATTTCAAATGGCACTTAGAGGCTTTTGCATCTGAACTCTTCATATACTGTATATATATATATCATACTGAACCTAAAGTTTTGAACGGTAGTGTACATACAGAACAAAGTGTGTGTTGGCTCATAATAAAGAGCTTAAGACTTGACAATGAAACATGACAAGGCTAGCTAACAACTAACTAATCATTTTAAGGAGAGGTACAAACACAGCTTGATATCAACCCAAAATCAGCTACAACAGTGTAAATAAAACTAGCAAATGGTCAAACAATGCAACCATATTAATTATTCATCCCCAGTGCAGGGAAGGGGAAAGAAGCGAGAAACTTGTGCATATTTAAACACACAATAAAAGCTACGTTTGTTAGTTCAACTAAGTATATTATAACAGAAAATCTCCTTCATGATCTTTTGCTTGTGTGTATGTTGTTGTATTTATAAAATGGTTAGTTCCAATCCTTGATTCTGGTTGGTCAATAGCTGTGCTTTATTCATGATAAAACATGGCTATGACTGCTTCACCCAACTCTTCTATTTATCACTGTGCAACACTGCAGTTCCTATGTTGTTTTTATTTGAGCTTTCATGCAGATTACACATTGGAACGTTGTTGCTGTTCACGGTCGGGGACTATTTTTTTCTAGCGGAAGCAAGGCTTTCAGTGATTTTACTTAATGAAAGTTGCACTAATACATTTTTTTTTTTTTTTACTTTAATATTTTTATTGTGTGGTAACCGTTTTATAAAAGCAATAAGGTACTCGAGGCAAGTGCTGTATAAGTGCTGTACTACACAGCCTCTCGTACCTTATTGCTTACTTAAAACATTAGTCTTTTCTTCCCTTTTGCGATGTATACCTGAGTAAAATGGCTTCTCGAACGGGAAAAATAAAGTGGATGACTTAAAAAAAACGTTTACTAATAAATCATTTATATAATTTTTATGATTTCATAAGTAAACTAAAAACAATAAACAAAAAAATAAAAATTTCTAACAATGTTTATTTTTACAAAATAATCATTAAAATATTATTAATAAAAAAAAAAAATTACTTGATGAAAGAATCGATTTAACAGTGCGTATAAACCATGTTCCCAGCCTCATCTGTCATTCTTCCCTTCCATATCTTACTCTGCTTCTTTCTTATCATTTTACCTCTTAATAATTCCCTTTACTCTCTATTCTCGTATCAATCCTCCTCCTCTTCTCTTTTTCATGGCAGAGCCCTGATGACAGAGATGGGGATGAAAACGGAACCCTGGATCTGAGCCGGGCTGGAGGGATGGGGGAGGGCAGTGGGGGTACAGTGCTGACCCCCCTGCAGCCCATGTCGCCCCAGCGGCAGGCCTTGCTCAACAGCCACTGCTACCAGATGAGCACAGCAGAGTGCTGGGACCTGCCTGTGGACTACACCAAGATTAAACGCCTGGACGAGGACCACAAGGAGGTACTGTGCCCCACCCCCAGCCCTTGAGTCTGGCTGGAGACGGCACGGCAACACTCACTTTTTGCCCACTGTCGAATGTGATCAGTATTTGAATAGATTTAATTTACTGAGATTTACTAAATAGACTTAGAGTTTGGCTGTAGCAATTACCAATTTGTATTATTAAACAGAAGATAATACAAATGTGAATAAATTTTTATGCTTGATTGTGTAATATAGTGTAAGTACTATGGAACTAACTAAACATTATTGTGTGTTTGCGTATCCCGAGACAGCAACGTTGACTTGACCAATGGCGTAAGCTTAGGGTGGAGCTACAGTGTCTGTTTCTCTAACCAATTAAATAGCTGATGAGGAAGAGTGTTCAGGAAACCTGTTTGAAAGTTTATTTTTTAAGTCAACATTTTTTTATATGACTTTCTTCTTTCAGCCGAACACAATCGGAGTTATATTAAATACAGTAATATCCAGGCTTTTCCCAGCTTTGTAATGCCATTGAATTGTGCCCAAGTTTTTGACGCATCCATCCATCATAACGGTAATCCATACGACTCCAGGGGGTTAATAAATGCCTTCTGGAGCAACACAATGGGTTTGTGTTAATAAAATATCCAAATCTACAACTTTATAATCACTGGCTTCCGTGAAGGTCCGTGCTCACGATCACGACAAAGTCAATTTCCGGCGGAAGAGTTGACCTCTGACCCGAAGTATGACATAGGACGTAGCTACTCATTTTTTTATTTTAAACTTCTCATTTTAGACTTCTAATTTGTGACCTGTGTTTTGTTTTGCTCTATCCTGGTCACACCAGATCTCTTCTCTCGTGAATGCGCGTACACACGTTGCCGGAAGCCAGTGATTATAAAGTTTTAAATGTTTCAAGTAATAATATTTTAAAAAGATTGTTTTACAAAAACCCTTCGCGTTACTCCGGAAGGCATTTATTTACCTTCTGAAGTCGTATGGATTATTGTTATGATGGATGGATGCACTTTTTTGAGCTTTGAAAATTCTGGCACAATTCAATGATATTACAAATCTGGGAAGAGCCTGGATATTATTTAATTCCGATTGTGTTCTGCTGAAAGAAGAAAGTCATCTACACCTAGGATGGCTTGAGGGTGAGTAAATTATGGGATAATTGTAATTTTTGGGGTGAACTATTCCTTTAAGAAAGCTGTATTTCCTTCTATTGTAGTGATTTGAAGGATGGTAGGACCGTAAGGACATCTAGTGTATAGTACTGGTACTGCATGCCTTGAAATGGGAATTGGAATTATTATTATTTCAAAAGGGATATCATGTTTTTTGCTAAATTGTTGGGAAATTTGAATTCATGTAAAATTGGCTGAATTAGATTTTTTGTGTCTTTTTTTATTACTATCAGGCCACTGTACCATTCTTCCTTCTTATTCTGCATCATAACATGCATTGAAATCTCTCTTTTTCTTTCTCTTTCCTCATTTTCAGGATGACCTGGACCCCTTTCAGGATCTATTAGAAGAGCAGCAGTATTCAGGAGACGTGTCCCTCCCCAGTCCCAAACACAAATTTGCTCCCTGCAAGGAGAGCAAGAAGGAGCTCCTCACGTAAGCATAACATTTGCACTGAATAAAGACTATTTAAATATAATATTTAGTGTGTCCATTGTACATTACTGATGTTTTTTAAAGAATTTTATACTTTTAATTAACTAGGATGGATTAACTAAAGGTTTCTATTTCAAATAAATGCTGAAAAAAAAATCCACAAAAATATCCAGCAGCACAACTGTTTTCAACATTGATAATACACAATGTTTCTTAAAGCACCAAATAAGCATATTAGAAGGATTTCTGAAGGATCATGTGACACCAAATAATAATTATTAATAATAATTATGGGAATAATTGTGGTGAAAAATTCAGCTTTGCCATCACAGGAATACATACATTTAAAAAAAAAAATCTCAGTTTTATTACATCGCTCATCTGCCTTCTCTATTTTAACAGTTTGAATTAATTACTAAATAAATTATAAACGTTTTATATATATATATATATATATATGAAGAGTTCAAATGCAAAAGCCTCTAAATGCCATTTGATATTTTCTTCTAGAATGGTCATTTTTATCAAGCTTGTATATTTAAGTTCAGTAATTTCACTTAAATTGCAATTAATAGGTAATCTTCATTGCCATTTAAGTGAAATTACTGAACTTAAATATACAAGCTTGATAAAAATGATCATTTTAGAAGAAAATTTCAAATGGCACTTCATACATATATATATATATATATATATATATATACATGAACTCAATATATATATACAACTCTTCATATATATATATATATATATATATATATATATATATATATATATTTCGCAGTCAGTGAGTCAGTTTTTTTTTCCAAAGTACAATTCATTTATTTGAATGTAAAACTTTTTGATGATATATATGACCCTGAGTGCACGTTAGCAGCAGCTGTGCAAGTATACCATGTCTCATACCAAATCCTCTCTCAAGGCTATCAAGCTGCCAACTGGCTGACAAGGGCATGCGTGGTATGATGACATCTAACTCCCAGGATCTGAAGTAAGCCCTCATGCTCTCGTGTTTACACACTACCTCAATTGACCTTCAAAAATGAGGTCTATCTGAGGTTACATTAATCTTTTTCATGTTTTCATTGCTTGCAGGTGTCCTACTCCTGGCTGTGATGGCTCTGGGCATATCACAGGCAACTATGCCTCACATAGAAGGTGAAGACTCACAGATATGCACATTAAAAATTGATTTGACTGCCAGTGGATTATAAAAAATGTTTTTCTTGCCCTGAAGTCTGTCAGGTTGTCCCCGGGCAAAGAAGAGTGGTATTAAAATAATGCACAGTAAGGAGGACAAGGATGACCAGGAGCCAATCAGGTGCATTTTCTTTAAATTCCCTCATCTGTCCAAAGTAACTCAAAGTTGAATGTTACTTGCAGCAATTTAGAGTTGTAAAGTTCGACCAATTGTACTGCAGTAGGAACTTCACTATCTGTGTGTGCATGGCTACTCGCTCTTGCTTGTGTGTGAGAACTCATCCCTGCTGTGCCCGATGTCTGTAGGTGTCCTGTGCCAGGCTGTGATGGCCAGGGTCATGTGACTGGGAAGTATGCATCCCACCGCAGTGCATCCGGCTGCCCGCTGGCCGCCAAGCGTCAGAAAGACGGTTATGTGAACGGAGCGCCTTTCTCCTGGAAGTCTGGCAAGACAGACGGCATGACCTGCCCCACCCCAGGCTGCGATGGCTCTGGCCACGTCAGTGGCAGCTTCCTCACCCACCGGAGGTACACCAGTGTGGGATTGTTTCTCAGCAAGGCCATCATATAGCAAGAAATCATTTCCTTAATCAGTGTTTTTGTTTTGTTTTTCACTAAAAATATCTAAACTTTCTTAACTATTCAAATTGCTTTCGATAATTGAAATAAAGCTGAAATAAAATAAAATATAAATATTAGATTTACTTAAAAAAACATTAGAAATGTTGATTTTGCAACTAAAATAAATAAGATACCGTTAAAGTGCTAAAATGAGTAAATTTAAAACTTAAATAAACAAAATCCAAATAGATTTTTTTACTAATAAAAATTACACACAAAAAAAAAACATTTTAATTTGAAAACTAAAAATTTTGAAAATTAAAAATGGAAATATGAACAATAAAAGCTAATTAAAAATATTACTATAATAGTATATAAATAGTACTAAAACAACAAAGTATATTAAGACAATTATGTTTATTTTTCTTAATACCACATTGACATTCTTTTTTTTTTTTTTTAAAGTTTAAGGAATTGTGTTGGTTTATTTATGCTTAAAACAAGAAAAAAAATTGCCAGAGGTTTAAGAAAAATGCTGTTAAAGATATATTCACTAAAAACATATTAATTTCATAATTATCACATAATTTGTATAAGTAAATTCATCTTGTTTATCTCGTTTTAAAAATTGCCAGTGGTTTAAGAAAAATACAGTTCATTTAAGATATATTCACTAAAAACATATCAATTTAAAATTATCATACAATAATATTTAGATAAAGACAAGACAAATATGTGGCAGTAAATGTATGTGAATCAGTTCATGTTTTTCTTAAACATTAACTAATGTAAATATTGAAATAATTGTGACATTTTTTTCATCAGTTTTTAATCTTTCTCATGTTTTATTTGTATGTCTGTAGTCTGTCTGGCTGTCCCCGTGCCACATCTGCTATGAAGAAAGCGAGGATGACAGGGGTTGAAATGCTCACAATCAAGCAGAGAGCAAGTAAAGGTACATCATTTTTCTTTTATTATATCATTAATAATGAAATGAAATTAATTTCACCTGCCATCAATGACATTTTTAACAGTGAATATCTCCATGTTCCCTTCTAGGCATAGAAAATGATGAAGAGATTAAACAACTGGATGAGGAAATCAAAGACCTGAACGAATCAAACAATCAAGTAGAGTCAGACATGATCAAATTAAGAACTCAAGTAAGAACATTTGCTATCTCTCAAATCGGGCATTGGCCGTGTGTTCAGTCACAGAGATGCCTTTGTCTCTCTTTCTTTCTCCTGCCAGATCACCACCATGGAGACTAACCTGAAGTCCATCGAGGAGGAAAACAAGGTTATAGAGCAGCAGAATGACTCGCTACTGCATGAGCTCGCCAACCTCAGCCAGTCCCTCATCAACAGTCTCGCTAACATCCAGCTCCCTCATATGGTAAGAGCCAACGGACATGAGTCCTCAACTAGGAGTAAGAAAATATCAGTGATCAAGGGACTACAAAGTCCTGTGAATCTGAATTAATTCATTTTATTCATGTATGACCTACAAATAAATGTTTCTCTGCATAGAATAGTCTTTTAGAATCATATAGACTGCCTCTTGTTGAAAGCCAGGGCCTGAGTCTGCATATCAGACGCTACCAGTAGTGATGAAATTCCGGTTTCTATTTTTTCTCCCATCTGCTTCTTTATGTCTGTTGTTGAGTTCCTCGCAGTTCCATATGCTTCTGTGCTGAGGTCACTCCCCTTTACTGACCATTGTAGAAAAACAACCTCCACTGCAACGACTGCTTTTCAGTTGAGTAACAACATGGCTGCTGTGGATCAGACATGATGGAATCACAGAGCCTTCATATACACATTAAGACGGGGCGTGATTGGAAAAGCCTTGTTCAAATGTGGCAGCCATGTTAGTAAACAACTGAAACGTGTCTTCTTGAATATGGCTCCTGAAATCTCCACCCCCACTGTTGATGGATGCTATTTAGAGTGCGCACGAGGGGTCCTCAAGCTGCACTAACATCAGACGAATGTTGCCTTTTCATGTGTCATGCCGCTCAACCAAAACTTGCACTGCAAAAAATAGCGTTCTTCCTAAGCATTTTTGTCTTTCTAGGACAAATATCTAAACTTTCATAAATCAAGCTACATTTACTTGAGAAGCAAAATGACCTAAGCTACAGTATTAAGGGAGAGATTTACTAAACAGGGCAAATTAGTGTGAGAGCGTAATTTCAAAAGAGTGCCGAAGTTCTGCACGTGATCTACTGATGACACGCAAACTAAAGAACACAGATGCAGCATGGCCAATGCAATCTACAAAGAGCAGCCCATTAGTATCTGGTTTGAGACATGCTTTTTTGGCCTGCTTTTTTTGCATTTGGACTCCTACAAATGTAAATGCAATAAGGTCAGCCGCAAAAATAACTGTCCATGCCCTTTTCAGCGCTACTTTTTTTCTCCGTGTCTTTAGTAAATCCTGACAGCAGTTTTTTAACGGCAAAACAATCTGCCAATGGGGTCAGAAAATTAGTCTTGTTTCCACTTTGAATTAACCTTCAAATGGTCTTCCTTTCCTGTTTACACTTCTGGGCTTCGGGGTCTATATGACCCCAACAATTGATTGAGTAATTGTACAAAAAATAGACATTTTTAATCATACAAATAATATATCATTACTTTTTTTATTTTTTTTTTACTTCTCATCTATTTATTAATGCTGTGTTTTTGGAGATATAAAGTACTTTTGTATCCATATACCACACAATTCCTCAACTACACCATTAGCTTGCATATGAAATATAATTTTTTTATGATACATTGCATTTATGCTCTAGTACTAGGCCTTCATTCCTGTGTAAAAATTTTCAGATTTATGCCGGATTTTGAATAAAATATATTTAGTTTTTTCACATTTCCCATTCATTTCAATGTGGGTCATATTGACCCGAAGACCATAAGTGTAAACCGAATCAAGCCCCGTTTTTTTTTTTTTTTTTTGTTGTTGTTGTGTTTATAGATAGATAATGTATGAAAAGTCACAAAATCTTATTCCACTGAAATTAAGGGAACCTTTTTTTATTAAGTAAAAGTCGATTGGGGTCCCCATGACCCGATTAGTTCACCCAAAATTTTTCACTCATCCTCATGCCGTTCCAAACCCGTAAAATGTTCGTTCGTCTTTGAAACACAAATGAAGATCTTTTAAATGAAACCTGTGAGATTTCTGTCCCTCCATTTACAGCTACGCAATACCACTTTGTCACTTCAAAAAGTTCATAAAAAGATCGTAAAACAAATTCATACGAATTTAGTTCATATTTTCTGAAGAGACACGCTAGGCTTTTAGGCTTTTATTCTCATATAATCATTAATCAGCGAACATAAACAGAAGCTCAACCGTACGTGCTCAACGCACGAGAACAAACCTCTTATAGAAGCTCAAATGTGCTGCATAACACAGAATGAAATCTCATTGGTTCTTGCAAGTCAAGCGAACTTCTTTTTATCATAACTGATGTGTGCGCATTGATATGTAAGAAAATTTGGACTGCTTAATTCATATAGTTAATTTTACGATCTCTTTATAAAAATGTTAAAATCTTATAAGGGGTAGTTGCATGGACTTTCAGTGGAGGGACAAAAATCTCTCAGATTTCAGGATTAAAATATCTTCATTTGTGTTTGGGTTGGGTTTGGAACAACATATGTGTGAGTTAACAGACTATTTCTCAATAAGTTTGTTTTTCTCACCCCATTGGCAGATATTTTGTCTTATATTATGCTTAAATTCACTTCATTTTGATCTCTTTTTTTGGTTTAGAAAACATTTAGCTTAAGTAAATGTATTTTTAGATATTTGTACTGGAAAACAAGACAAAAAAGCTGAGGAATAGCAAATGTTTTGCGTTGTGGTGTTCTGTACTTCCACGTGTAAAGTCGAGTATGTCAGTTTTATTGAGACCTCTGGCTTTTAGCCTGGCTAATAGTCTTTTCTCTACACCTCTCCCTTCTGTAGAAACCGGTGCCACTGAAAGAGGCCCCTGTTAAAAATTACTGCTGTTTACAGATGCCCCACAGAGTAAGAGATTCATTTTCCATAGTCTAACTTTATCCTTCTCCTCACTATCATTTTCCTCCCCCTAGTCCCCCCCCCCCCCTTTTGTAGCACACACTACGATCATGAAGGTCCATACATATTACCCGAGTGCCACACATATTGACCACTTCAGGGTATAGCGATAAGAAAGCTGGGGTTGCAATATGAGCCATATTTATTTTTTTGGTATGTAAAACACATTATTTTATCAGGCACAGTGATGATGCTCATCGATATCTGTCTGCTACTCATGGCGATCTGTTTAATATCACTCGTGAATGCCAGTATTACGTACATACTCATCATGAGCATGAATCTCACACCAGTGCATGCATACATTATGTATGTGCATTAATTCTTTTGTTATCCATCAGATATATCTTTTTTTAGAAGCATCGCAGTAGTTGTACCAACAAACAGTGGCCATTTTAATGTGACTGGTCAAGCCCTGCATTTCCAGAGATGTATTTTCTATAAAACCCTAGCTGATATTTAGTTTTAAAGGCAGCATTGTGGGTTCATTCCTCCCTAAAATATCCTCTTTTTCCTTCCCTTTCTGTCTCAATTGTGTGTTTGATTGAACATTGTATGATCGATTTCTGTTTCCAACCTCCAATGATCCCGATCTGTTCCGCAGGAGCCGATGAACGAGCAAAACTTTGACACTTATGTGAGCACTTTGACAGATATGTATACTCACCAGGACCAGTACCAGAGTCCGGAGAACAAGGCCCTTTTGGAGAACATAAAGCAAGCGGTTCAAGGCATCCAAGTGTAGCTTTTGCGATTGGCTATTGGCCGAGTCACGGGGTCGTGTGATGAGAGCGTTAAGAATCGATAAGAAACAAAAGAAACCCGTTATGTAAAAAGTATGGATAACTAGTATGATTTTTTTGCTGCTGTAATTTATTGTATTATTTGGCATTATTTATGATTCCGTTATGCTTTTGACACAAAAAAAAATACATAACTTATTTGTTGCCTTGCTTTAAGACGACAACTACCAATGGCAAATGTTTTGAGGAACATTCATGTTTTGTACATTTTTCATATGACCTGACATAATGTGATGTACTGTTTATAGCTGCTAATGTATGCACATTTTATAGTGTATATGTATTTATTAATTGTAAACAAAAACCATCCATTATTTTAAATCTAAAGAGGTGCAGAGGGGATACACTGAGGGAATGTAAGGGCAATCAGCTTTGATCTGAGCTTCTCTTTATGGGACTAATGGGAACTAATGTGCTGTGCAGGCTGTTCAATGGGTGTACAGTGGTACATTTTTGTGGTTCGATTTTGGGTACATTTTGTAACAATATTGAGAAACGTCTTTTGGTTTCGGAATCATATTTATAGTGGTCAGTGTGGGCACTCTAATGCAGTATGTTTATTGTTTCGCTTGTTTTAGTTTTTTTTTTTCTTCGTTTTAATTCCCAAAATAGATGGAAAAATAGAAAAAAAAAATCTTGTGAAAGCAAACATCATGACACGGAAACTCACTGGTGTAAATCCCAAGAAATATTTCATAACTTCTCAAATATTTTCAAAGTCTGTTCTCGAAATGTAACGCCCGGCGGCTTGAGGCCAATAACTACAGAAAATTTCAAGGAGACAATCCAACATGAATTATTAATTTAATGATCGTAAAATGTTAGTGGTAGTATGATAGGATATCAGCAATATATGACAACGAATCAATCATTTATTTAGATATGGGATGCAAAAGTTTGGGTATATGCAATTTCTTATTCTTACCATAGTAGTCGAAAGCTGATGAATCTTTTTACTAAATGTAAAGTATTAAGTTTTATATAAATCTTTTAATACAGTCATGTTTTAGGGTTTAAACATGGGTGATCAAGTCCAAAAGGATGAATGCATTATGATTTAACATTTCTCATGTTCGATTTTGCACAGGGACACCTTTGTTTCCATGTTTTGGTGTTTTTATTTGTTTCAGGAGACCAAGGAGGTGCCCAGATGTTTGAATTGTGGGAAGTTTGTTTATTTTCTTTTCTTTGAAGAAAGTAAATCTGTGTATGAATGTTAGTTTACCAGTGTGCTGGATATACAGGGTTAATGTCACCATCCATACGTCATTGTGTCATAGTAATGGAGCACTTGTCTTGTAGATTTTGTCCAAGCAATCATGTAGAGAATCATCTGGTCACGAGTGCACAACAAATACAACTATGTCAGCAATGCAACTCCAATCAGTTATACACAGTATTATGAGAGGTCAGCTTGCCTTCTGTGGTTACCTGCGATTCACTTTCATTGATTCTTTTTTTTTTTTTTTTTACATTCATGAGAAATCAGCGGCACTTTAAGCTCTACAAATAAAGGAAATTGAAGCAGGATGCTTTTAATTTTTGATAAATAAACGATGAAGCGACGGTAGCGTGTGAGGGTTGTTTACTGAATATTACTCTATCATATCTTAAGGACATATGTACAGTTATAGTATGGGAACCCCACGTCCGTCTTCATTTAGGCAAAGCCCATTGAAAGCATCAAGCAAAGCCAGAAATTGGGATGATTTTCAGTGGTGGGTTTTAAAGTTATTTGTATTTATCGAGCATGAGTCAAAGCTGTCACAGTGATTTTTAGTGTGAAATGACTCTGGTTGATGCTGAACGTCTACGTGGGACATTGTTTCGGAAAATCTATAATTTTTCTATTAGCGAGAAGACTAGCATTGTGTTTTCCGAGAGCTCATGCAAAAGGTGCTAGTAACTCTTATTTATCATTCTGTAATATCCAGGCATCTCCCCAACCACAGCACATTTCTCTCTCCGAAAGCTTTGTGTATGCAGCTAATTTCCAAGATAGTAATGCTTTTAACACACTGATATCAAAATACAATATCCTCTCATCCACTATCATAACTGATTTGACAGGAATGGGGATTTTAAGCACAATTCCGCTGCTCATTTTCAGTTGGCACATTGTACTTCAAAAGGTTATCTGTGACTATTTAAATAGAAACTATCTATGGTGTCACATGCTTGAATGCAGAATACTTTTCTTATTAATAATTGTGAAATCATCAGGTTACAAGTTTCCATTTCAAATGGATTTTAATTAACCATTTTAAACCAGGATTTTTCTATTAAAAAATAAAGAAGCATAGCTTTCTTAATGTCTCTTGCTCTCTTCCTCTATCCAGCTCTTTAGCTATCTTTTTCTCTCTTATTTTCATTTTCAACCACATGGCATGATTTCTGTTGGTATGATACTTTTTTTGCTCTAAGTGTTTAAGATCACAAGTTGCAGTGATATTTCATTTTGAAATTGTGAACTTTGTACAATTTTTATCATGCTGGTGTTGACATCTCTTACTCAATAAAAATTGTGTTGCCACATTACATGTCCCTTTTTATTTTGAATTGTTATTGAAATCATTACTGTTTGCATCAAAGTCTATTATAGAGGGTAAAAAATCCGTTAATATTCATCTCAGTGGAAGTTGCTCGACTGTTGCAGAATCAGATCCAAAAGTAGGCTACAGTATACTACTTCCATTTGATCAGATGGAAACATTAAGAAATAGACCTCTTTCTGTTACAAAACGTATATACAATAATATAAATAAATACCTGTGTTTATTTTTTCATACTCCAGTACTTTTTTTTTTGCATTGCCATCACAATATTAACCAGTCAGTTATATTGTTAATTGTGAATATAATTAGGCTAATAGTCATGTGACACAGCTTATGTGAAATGTATTTCTAGCATGCCATTTACACCTTTTTTATTTATAAATTTTCATTTATAATTAAATGACAACATTGTAATCAAGGTTATTCGTTTTCAGTTACACAGAAGGACCTATCCCTACATGTAAGTTTGCCTAATTTGTTGTAAAATGGCTATTTGTGCGTGCGCGCGCGTGTGTCAAACGCTGTCTGTGGTCAAACTAGTTCAGTAACTTTCATTTTTTTGGCATGACAAAAAAAAAAAATTCAGCAATTTTACTTCCATTTCTGATGTATAGAACTGCTGACTCTAAAACAGTCCTTGAACAACTGGTTGGAATTTACACAGCTGCACTGTGACTGCACCAGCACATGCAATACCGTTGACAGCCGCCAAGCTGCGCAGGTTTCCAGCGTAAGCCAGTCTGTGTCTGTCACATGATGCAAACTAAAGATGTCTGCGACTGAAGAAGACACGGAACTCAGAGATCTACTGATCCAAAACTTGGAAAACAGTGGTGTTTTGAATAAAATTAAGGTATTTTTTCTGTCTATTTCGAAACACGCTTAAAGTCTTTATGAGGCCGGAATAATCCCTGTCTCACACGGGACATGTTTCGTTTTCTAAGCACAATGTTTGTTAGTTAGCATAGCATAGTGATGCTAAAGTTGTTATGGGAACAAATGGACAACAACGACTGTTGTGATAACATTGAGTTATGGCAGTGCGCCCTTGTCTTATTTTCCCTTCATACCACTAAAGATGAGACCAACAGTATCATTATTTTTCTCGGCTGTTTTAATATAAAACTAATCATGCTTGTTAGTTAACCGGCAAGTCTGCAAAAGTCTCTTGATTTAGTGCTATCTTATTTAGGCAAGGTGATGACGTCATCTAAAACGACCAGGCCACAAATAATCTGGTCTAACCTGTAATATAATTCCTTTACCCCGCTATGGATAAATCCACTTTTTTAGACCTTGAAATTATACCGTATTTGTACATAATGGTGTTTCTTTATTGACTCTGCAGCTACACAGTAACATCTCTGCAGTTTGAGCTGTACTGATCCCTGGTCTGTTTGGTGCTGTACTTTTATTAATATGTCTGATTAAAGGACATATGAACTGATGATAATTCTCTCTGGTTTACAGGCAGAGCTGCGTGCAGCTGTTTTTCTTGCCTTGGAGGAGCAGGACAAAGTTGAGGTAATTATAAGTAGATTATCTTATCTAGATTAAATGCTGTTACATTCATTGTATTTTTTGCATGAGTGCTCTGCAAGATTCAATGTGTCATTTAGATGTCAACTCTTTTAAATAGAATAAAACCCCTCTTGTGAATGAAAACCTGAAAAAGTCCCTCAACACGAAGGATGGTAAGTTTAGATTCCACAAAGTTTTGCTTTGAAGAGATGACTTACAGTTATGTGTGCAATAGATATATTACACTTTTAGGATCTGAACAGGAAACACTCTGCATCATACACTTGCCGGATTTGTACATTTTTAGTTTTATAAGATTCCCTTATCTGTCATTAACATATTTGATTAGATTGTCCTGGCAAGCAAAATGCCTTTTTAGGAAGTTACTTCATTGAAGGACATATTTAATGAGGTTATCCCCAAAAAGGTTTAGGATTTTTTTTTTATCATATGTTAATTAAAAAAAAAAGTATAATATGAAAATAATATTTATTTTTTTTATCTTTATTGTATTTATTTGATATTTGTATTTTTTGTATTTGAATTTGCCTTGAAAATAGCTTTGATTGCTAACATGGCATTAAATAAAAATAACCTGAATCTGTAAATTGTTAGAGAGAAAATTTGGGCATCAATCAAACTAAACGACTGAGGATCCCCCACTACCAGACTTTCATGTTTTTCTCAACTCACGCAGAAACATGCACATGCACCTCATTGTTAGGAGACGCATGACAAATAAAAACGACGTCAAACATGTTTGATATCCTCCAACTGGATGGAATCATAGTATGAAACTAAAAGAAAAGAAGTCTGGTGTGAACTTGCTTCGGCTCATCTAGACTGCAAATCGGGGCAAAACATAGTGTGTTCCAGTATTTGATTTTTAAACTTAAAATGTCCCTCTATCTCAATGTCCCTCTACCTTTCAAAAGTTTTAGATTGGTAAGACTTTTTAATATTTTTAAATGTTTCTGCTCCCCAACACTGCATTTATTTGATAAAAAAAGAAAAAAAATTGTGAAATATTCTTACAATTTAAAAATACTTTATTCCTATATTGGCAAAGCTGAATTTTCAGCATCGTTACTCCAGTCTTCAGTGTCACATGACCCTTCAGAAATCCTTATAATATGTTGATTTGATGCTCAAGATACATTTATTATTATCATCAATGTTCAAAAGAGCAGCATTTATCAGAAATAGAAGTCTTTTGTAACATTATACACTAACGGTCAAAAGTTTGGGATCAGTAAATAAATTAATACTTTTATTCAGCAAGGATCCATTCAATTGATCAAAAGTGACAGTAAAGACATTTATAATGTTACAAAAGCTTTCTATCAAATAAATGCAGCCATGGTGAGCAGAAGAGACTTTACAGTATATACTCATGTCTTCTTATTTTTTTTCTACCGGTACTTAAATGTATCTACTTAAAGGCCCGGGATGAACTCTGTTTATAAAATGATGAGAAAACAGAATAAATTCAGACAAATAAGCAGAAGAATAAATAAATAATCTAGTGCTCATCTAAACTGTTGGCAAGGCATTACACGATTTAGACTTTTTAATATCTTAATAAATATTCAAATTTTGCATTTTCAGCTTGTCCTTCTCTTCTTGCAGGGCGCTTGGTAGCAGGTCTTATCACTGACTTCCTGCAAGTCTTCAATTTAGACTTCACTCTCGCCGTGTTTCAACCTGAAATTAGCACGGTACGTCAGTGTCACATAAAAGTGTCGCAGTAAGGTTTGAGTTGTCTTTCAGAAATTCATGCACGTGCTATGATATCTTTTTTTGATTGATTGATCTCTTTCATCTAAAACTAACGTACCCTATTATGTGTTGTCCAGCTGAATGGGCTCGACAGTCGTGAAACCCTGTCTAAAGAGCTTGGCATCTCTGAATCAGAGGTGAATAAAAACACCCCTCTCCTGCTAGAGTTGGTGAAGAGGGGCCGGCATAAGGACAAGACCTCCATTTTCTCTGAGGTGATTTTTGATGCTCTTCATTTCAGCCAGTCTGATCAATCCATGCCTTTCAGATTGAGTGACTCCCTCTCACTTTCTCGCCTGTCTTCTTTACTCAGGGAGATCGGGTGACTGAGAGAACTTTTCCCAAGGTACTTTACCACCACTATCTGGTCCAGTCCATACGTTATCTCTCTAGATCTCTCTGTAACTTGTTGTTGCACCCACACGTACAGTAAGCACAGGTAGGGTTGATGCACTCTCAGGAGCAGATCCTGTCTCAGACTAGTAATAGTGCTAACCCAGTTATTTCACTTGTGGTTGGAGAGCACATCTTGGGTTGATTCATATCACCGGTTTAACCCCACATCACAAACCCCAGTCGATTTATTCAGGTCACACAAGGGAAGCGTGATGTAAATGTACATCTTTGAGTGGTGCTGCAAAAAAAGGTTTTCCTGTTAAGATACTTGTGCAAAACAAGCTTGTCCTACTTCTAGAATTTTTCTCTTGTTTTGCGGGCGCTTTACGTGCATTTGTTTAATCATGCCACTTCTCATGACTTCTGTCGTGTCAGACGAGACTTAGACAAGTACTATTGTCTCATGATTATACATTGTGATATTGTGTCTTTATTTTAGGTGCTCAATGTGGTTACCCCAAACATGTGATTTATATGAAAAATGTATAACAAATACACAATTTTATATATTTAAATAGATTTTAATAGATAATCTAGACATTCTGCAATGATTGTATTAATGTTTGTGGGTGGTGTTTAGGAATTATTGCCACGTCAAATCGCTGATGCCCGCAAGAAATTTGACAGTCATGACAAGGTAACTTTTTTTTTGTAATTACTTTATAATTAATACAATGTACCCTTATAGTATATAATTATTATTTATTTTCTAAAATAAGTATTCATTACTTTACTTTTATTTTATTATTCATTTGGTTATAAGAACATATGATAAGTTATATATATATATTTTTATTTGATTTTACAGAACAGAAGTGGGGAGATCAACAGAGATGCAGTTATTGCCATTTTCGCTGATCTTTTCCCCCAGTTCAGCAGGTTTGTTTCAGCATTGTAGACTCTGAATGCCATGATCTCTAGGAAATATCTGAACTTACTGGTTCTGAAACTATCATTTATGAAACGACTGAAAGTGTTGACAACATCTTTCTTCATTGTTGGTTTGCCCATGTCTGGTTGTGGTCATGGCCTTTCTCATGACTTAGGAACAGAGTGTATTTCAGAACTAAATACTAACTCTGTTGAAATGGTGTTGTGTAAGCGGCCCCTAAATTAATAACTAGTGATCTTTGCAACAGAAGTGAATCAATCAAAGCTAACTTTAGCTGGATAATAACTTTATTCTAGAGCTGCTTTAAAGCAAAAACAATCTCTGTTACTTTAATTTCCTATTATCACCATAAAGCTGCTTTGAAACAATCTATTACTGTTAAAAGTGTTATATAAATTAAGGTGACTTGATTTTTTCGGTATACAAACCACAATAAAGGTCTCTTAAATGAATAGTTCACTCAAAAATGAAAATTCTTTCATCATTTACTCACCCTCAAGTGGTTTCAAACCTGTATGAATTTCTATCTTCTGTTGAACACAAAGGAAGATATTTTGAAGAATGTCGATAACCAGACAATAGATGGACCCCAATGACTTTCACAGTAGGAAAAAAAAATACTGGTCTGGTTACCGGCATTCTTGAAAATATCATCTTTTGTGTTCAGCAGAAGAAAGAAACTCATACGGGTTTGAATGAACCACTTTAATTGATGAGAGTAAATGATGACAGAATTTATTTTTAAGGGAACTATTTATTTAATGTGAAGGCCATTATAAAAGATCAATTGATGGTATTTATTGTTCTGTAGTTTCAGTCTTGTGCATTTTCTATTTCACTAATTTGATTCTTTTCATATTTGTATATAAAAAGAAACTTGCTGGAAAGTTACGTCACTGAGGAACTCCGAGCCAAAAGCAAGGACACAAACAATAGTAAGTTTTTGTGATCGTGTTTAATTGTCCACCATTTTAGGGTTGCACTTTTTTCCCCTCTTGTCAATCTTGTCATTCATTGTAATAGTTTCTAATGGAGTTTTGTCTATTCCACTTCTTTCTGTTTTCTATAACTCTACATAGCTATAGACTTTCAGGACTTCCTGGGAATGTACAAATGCTTCTTTATACAGTGTCGAAATGTGGTAAGCAACCTTAAACGCATTTGTTTTTGGGATGTCTGTTGTGTACCAATATAATGAGGTCAGTAATATCCTTTATAGGTGACCAGTGACAGTAGCGATGCACTTAACTCCTCAAGTAAAACAGCTGAAGATAGAATCATTTCATCTTCCGCCAGCAAGGTAAACTGACTTCCTGAATCCTGTCCTTTGTTTGCTTATCTTTCTCTCACACACTTTCCTCTCACCTTCTGACTAGATTATAATCTCTGATCTTTGTTGAATGTCAAATATGAGTTGCTGTTTGTCGTGTCTAATATTCTGTCTGCTTATTTCATCCAGCTCATTAAGTTTAACACTAAAACATAATTCGTTTTGTGAATAGAAGATGCATGTAGTGATAGGTAACAGTGTTTCCTGTGTGTGATTCATCAGCATATCTTACATCGTTTATCTAGATGGTGGGTGGTGTACAATAGTAATTTCATGCAGTCATTGTATTTTGACTCACAAAGGGGAAAGGGGTTTTACCAGATTTACTTTTGCCACATGTATTTATTTTTATTAATTTTGGGACATGACCTAAAAAATATATCTGCAGATACAGTGCCGGTCAAAAGTTTGGAAGCATTACTATTTTTTATGTTTTTGAAAGAATTCTCAAATGCTCATCTACCCTGCATTTATTTGATCAAAAAAATAGTAATGGTTTTAAATATTATTCCAATTTAAAGGTGCTATATGTATTTTTTAGCGGCCTCTATCGGTGATGTTTCAGATTGCAAGCAATTTTTACAAGAGCGCTCTTGCTTTTGCGCGCGCTCGAACACGAGTGAGCACTCATGGTACACGGCCACACTGAGACTTTCAACACACCGGAGAAAGCATCACACTACATGCTGGAAACTCATGTAAACTCCCACTGCAACGTTACAATAATAGGCTACTATCAGCTTGACGTTGAACTAATGCTCCATGATTGTACCATGATAAGGTTACATTTGTGGTGTTATCTAACATAAGGCATTTCACTAACTATTTGTGTATCTTTCACAATCAGTTATGTCAACATAGGTGAATCTATACTATAATAACGAAAAAATCGTGGGAAGTAACATTACTGTACTGAACGTATCTGGAAATGTGTATTATTAACAATATGATAGTAGTGGGATGAGGGACGTTAGACAGTAGATCTAGTTCATAAAATAAAAGTTACATCCTAAAGCACCTACTTTTTGTTATCCTGGAACAGTCTTTTGTGTTCATTTCATGTCTCATATATGTTGTAGTTTACCTTGCTATTTCATTAAAGTTTACCATTATTTCTGCAAATTTGAAAACTTGCAATTTGTAACACAATCCTTGCTCCATAAATGTGCATAAGAGACTTCAACTTCATTCTTTCAACCTTTTTTTATATACATTTCTAATTGGTTATGATGGCCCTAAATATAATAAAACAAAAATAAATACAAAGAAAAAAACTATTCATTGTGTTAGAAATAAATTACTTCTCCCCAAATTTCATGTCAGTGACGTTCTGTCAATAGATCTGTGTCATCAACTTGCTTGCAGTTTTCAGTTTTCTGTGCATTTGTAAATCTGTAGCATCCTTATTTTCAGTCAACTCTTCTCCTTCCAAATCTGTGTATGATTTAGTGAGGCTAGCATGTCATTGTTGTAAAAGGGAAGCTGATGGTTGTATTCTGGTGCTCAGATACCCAGGTATAAAGGATTTGTTAAACACAGTTCAGCGCAGGAAGAAAATGCTGGTCCAAAGGTAAAGCACACGCTCTGATATCAACTCTGATACTGGAGCTTTTGATCAGCTCAACCATGTGGCTCTCTTTGGGTCACATAAATGATTCATAAATGGATGGTGTCTGCACACATTTGGCTGTTACTAGGTAAAAGTAACCATCATGCCAAAATTCAGATTTATGCCTCTTTCCATTATTGTTATCACATGTGGAAGTGAAATTCATGTCCAAAGACACAATTACTGCTTAGTAGTCAAGATGGAGATGCAGAAAGCGCTCATAAATGTAGCCCATGGTTGAATTGAAACCATCTTAGCACTTGATATAGTAAACTGGCTATTGCAGATCAGATTTAAGCTAATACACAATAAAAACGAGATCAGAAAAAAAAAAAAAAAAAAACTTTTAGGGCAAAGGCACTGACCAGGCTTCTGCTAGTCACCCAGTACTAGTGTGATTATTTTAACACTTACTAACACCTTTGGCTTCTTTCAACAGTTAACTAGATTATCTGCATGTGTCGTCGACTCGTCTAATCACTTACTTTTGAATAATGTACACTAATTCTGAAACATTTCATTCAAGTAAAAACCCTCTTTTGAAAGTTGTCCTATATTAACTAATGGATCGATTTTTTTGAGTGGGTTAAATGACGCTACATTTTTTTCAGCATAATTTGAAGGTTAACATTGATGTGGGCCAGTTTCAGAATTGACATTTTGTGCAACCCACTGTTCTTGTAACTCAAGTAAAATGTTCTTTTCTTTTAATCTTTTAATCCTCTATTAACAGGAAGTTACGGGTGAATGGGGGACTACTGAATGGGGACTACTTCTTCTTTCCATTTCTTTTTTTTTTCTTGCTCATAATACACCACTTCTTGTAAACATAACACTCAAATTAATTATGGGATACCGTTGGTTCCAAACTGAATCGTACTGTAGTTTCATAGTAGATGATGCTCATTATTCATGTTGATCAGATGAAATCTGTAGCTTGTGGCCTTTTGATGTAATTATTATTACTACAGTATGTTGATTATATTGCATCTTTGCCATAGGCTGGAGAAAGAAGACCTGGTGAAACACTGGGGTTTCAGAAGAACAGAGTTCAAGTGTTTGAAGAGTCAGAGGAGGGATTAGGGGATGAGAAAAACCTTCCTACCCCACTGAGGAAAGCACTGGAATTTGGACTGGAGGATGAGGATGAGGAAGGAGACTCATTCTTCGATGATCCTCTTCCTAAACCTCAGAAGACCTATGGCGGGTAAGGAAACCTTCAGGGGAAATCAACAATCATGGCTTAGCATGTAGATCATTCACACTGACCAAGTATCAAGAAGTAATTCATTGTAGCCCTCAATCGGGTCATGGGGTCTATACGACCCCAATCGACTTTTACTTAATAAAAAAGGTTCCCTTCATCTCAGAGGAATAAGATTTTGTGACTTTTCATACGTTATCTATCTTTACACACGCACACACACACACACACACACACACACACACACACACACACACACACAAAAAAAAAAACTGGACTTGATTTGGTTGTTCTGAAGGTATGTAAAAAAAAAAAAAAAAAAATGTTTACACTTCTGGTCTTCGGGGTCAATATGACCCCACATTGAAATGAATGGGAAATGTGAAAAAACTAAAATAGATGAGAAGTAAACAAAAAAATGATATATTATTTGTATGATTAAAAATGTATATTTTTTGTACAATTACTCAATCAATTGTTGGGGTCGTATAGATCCTGAAGCCCAGAAGTGTAAACAGGAAACGAAGACCATTTGAAAGTTAAATGAAAGTTGGAAATTATAGGTGACAAACTGTCGGTATTGACTGCAAAATGAAGATACATATATATATATATATATATATATATATATATATATATATATACTGTATATAGTTCAAAATGACAAATAAACAAACTGTTTATTTAAGTCATAGTTAAAATGTTACTTAAATGTTACAATAAAATAAATGTAAAAAATAATTAAATAAATATTCCCAAGTTCCTACGTGTAGACTGTCCAACAGCATGTTGTTTTGCTCAGATGGCACATAGAAAAGCATTTGGCAAAAGCATAAAGAAGAGCAATTTGTAAATACAATATATAAAAAATACATTAAAATGTTTATCAATTTATGTTTATTGTTACATATAACTGCATTTAATAAAACCATGAATTAAATGATCCGTTTCAAATACATATTTAATTATGTTTTTGAAAAGTGATTTATTTTTCAAATTTAAACAAATATATTGATAATTACCCTACTAATCCTCTCCCTGTTTGAAACTTAACAGATTGAGGTCATCTACACTTGACGCGACTAAGCGACATTTGCAAATCCATTTGTTCTTTGTGTCAGAAGTAGCACTAGCACTTGAAGTACGTCAGAAATAGAGCGGAATTTGTTGTCGCACTTTTCTAGTGTAGACCGCATCAATTATTGCAATGGATTCTATTTGCTTTTGTCTGCTATAGATGCTCGTGTTCAGTGTAGACACAATGCATTTGAATACTGCGTGTAGGTAGAAATGCCTACTAGCAAGTTCAACTAACAGTACAGCATCCCCAAGCCATTTAATTGCTGTCAGTGTGATCGCATTATCACAGTCCTGGTTTTAGTGTCATTGTGGGAGCAGATTTCCATTCAGAGCTTTGAACAAGGACTGTTTCAGTGCCCACATGTTCTACTTAGACTGAAAAAGCAAATAAAATTGAAATGATCGAAATCACTAACACCTTTGATTGTAACTTCAGAAACGTTCTGAGTTCATCTGGGTTCTTTTTGTTTTTGAAGCACATAACTGTAGTTCATTTTTTACTGTTTAAATATAATAGGGCCTCCACCCATAAGTTACAATTATAAACAAAGACCTCAAATAACTGCTGGAAGATTAGATACAGAGAAGTATTTTTTGTTTTTCTGACTTGTATCTTCTCCTTTTCACTCTTGCCTCTTAATCCTACACGGGAAAACAGTGGTTTATCTTCGGCAGATAATCCTTATTTAGGACAGAGACATTCTGAAAAAAGCTATAGTCAAAAAGAGTAAGTACTTCCTGTTTTTCTGAATGTATTCGCATTTTGACTATGATTTTGACTTTGATACACTTTTGGGTAGATATTGGAGCTTTGTTGTATGTTGCACCTTGTCCCTCTTTTGCTTTTTGTTCCTGTCGCTCTTTCTCTCGCCCTCTTTCTGTAACCGTGTCTGTGTTTTCCCCCTCGTGAGAAGTCAGTCCTGGCAGAGGGAAGGAAGCCTGTCAGGGCGATCCTTATCCCAAATGCGGAGGGGCACTAGCCTCAATGAGTGAGTGTGCATGGAGTGATCACACTGCCATTCAAACCCACTGCATCCATCTTAACCCATGGGTGCAAAATCAGGCTGTTTACCCCCCACTAGGGTTGTTTGTTCATAAAGCAGTAGAATACAGTGGTCAGTTCTGTTTTAGAGAGCTGAATAAGCTTACACACAGAGTAACAACTGAACCACCTCCTTCTAATTTTCAAGACTCACAAATATGTTTTAGAGCTTGACTAATTAAACCATTATGTTAACTGTGATAAGACTTTCCAATATTATCAAATTGCCACCTTTGATATTTACTTTCATTACTTTTTCAAGTGTTTGCGGCTATCACAATTTTGTGATATAGTTCATGCCCAAACGCCATTACCCGATACTGTCAAAAAGAAACTTTTGCGTACTGGAGTGACTACAGTCATAATTGTTTTTTTAAAAACCTTTTACCCTTTTCGTTTCTTTCCTTGTCTGCATTTGTTCTGCATGTTTCCTATGTATCTCTCTCTCTTAATATCCCTGACCTTGTTCTTCTGGGTGTCATGTGTATGTGTGGATGAACATACAATGTTGCTCTGTCTGGCCTCAGCCTGTCTGCTATAGGCAGTGATAAAGAGGGAGATGGAGAGGACATGCTCTCTGACTGTGATAACAGGTCCAGACCTGACTTTAAACTCAGGTGAGCTGGGATAATTCCTGTCTGTCTCCTGCCTTTTAACTTCCCTCTTCGTCCACTTCACATATGGATGTCAGCTGGCTTTATAAAGTGCATGCAGTCTCATCCTGTCTGTTTTTTCAGGAGAGAAGGCTCGGGCAGCGGTTTCGGAAAAGCATTCACCACAGACGCGCTGCTAAAGAGCGCAGGAGGATCCATCTCTGCCGAGAGCAGCCAAAAAGATCATTCATCTGCCAAGAATGGTAGCAAGCCAGTTGTGAAATCGATCACGATTCCTTCTCAGATGATTCTGGATCTGGATCTAAATATGATTTAAAAGTGCTCTGCAGCAAAGGGGAGGGGGTATGGGGAAGAAAAGGGAACCCCTGATTTGATATTAACATAATGTTAATGAAAGTTTGTGTATAACATAATTGTATGTTACACCCCTAGTGACCGGTTTGTTCTGTTCTGCTTTTTTTTTGTTTTTGTTTTTTGTGTGTGTGTTTCACAAAAATCGATATAAACCAATAAAAAATAAAAGTTTAAAAAAAAAAAAGTGCTCTGCAGCAACATCCACCGTGCATATAAAAACTGTGGCTTCAGAGATGGAAAAAAGTTTTGAAAATGCTTTATATTAACAACATAAAGGGAAAGGATGAAAATAAAAACTACATTTTTAAAGGGAATAAACGTATTTGCCCAGAAATTAGGTCAGTCTGAATCATTTCCATTACACAAAATGAAAACTGCAGAGCTGCTTCCTGATATTGTTAAACCCACTATTTCTATTTGTGGTTAGAGCTGATGTATTTTAGCATGCCATTTAATCTTTAATCTAAAAGAATTTACCCCATCCAAAATTCATGAATCATCTGAGGAAGATCATGACTCTATGAATTGAATTTGAATCAGCTCATGATGAAGTGCATAAAGATTCCCCTGACTGAAATTATTTTGACACTAATATCTTCTCGGTTTGATTGTTGCCTTAGGTACATCTATTTCTAAAGATAAGGGTGTCAAAGGTAGGAACTCCTTAGTCATTATATAATTTTAAGCATCAAACAACCCTTTCTAATTGTCACATCTCATTTCTTTTTGAAAAACATGCTTTACAGATGAAGATCTTGATTATGACGATGACTTCAACAGGTAAAGACTGCCCATTAGGTGTGTTACTGGTCACTTGTTATTGCTCCATCTGAATCTAATGAAGTGTACTGATCTCTCTCGTTTCTCTTCAGTCATCGTTCTGAAAACTCTAAGAGTGAAGTGAGCATTGATGAGGAAATAGAGGAGGTCTCGATAGAGGGGCCTGACATCAGTGATAAGGTATTGTTAATATTTGTGTTGACATTGCATCTTAAACCTTGTTTCAAAAGGATTTTAAGCTATGGGTCTTGATTGTTTTTGAGGCGAACAAAGCTCGTAAAGTTTATTATGGTCCCACTTCACAATTCTATGTGAAAAGGGACAAATGTTAACAGTGGCCTTATTGATAAGCGTGCATTGTGTCAAAGTTAAGAAGTGAGAGTGCGATGTTTTGTAAATGGAAAAGATGGGTGGTTAAAGAGGCCCAATGAGGCAGTAAGAGGAAGTGTCTTTTGAACAGTTTGACCTTGACTGTGATTTAGCATCTTATTGATTTGGTTTCTCTCATTTTTTTTTTCTTGTAGCTTGATGAAAACACTCAGGATGTGAGCGTCTCGCAGATAAGTTTGGGTGCAGACTACATGGAAGATGTTGCTTGACATCTAATTGTCAGATCCTTATTTTGTACTTTGTTTTTATGTATTTAGCTGACATAATAAATAAGTAATTACATGACTGTGGCATCTTGCTGTTTTTTTTATTGCCATTACAATAAAACAATGGAAGGACAGAAATGAAAGGATATAAAATTGACTTCTCATTTAAAAAAAATCAAAAACAAATCATTAAGTTGTGTAACCTTTAAAGTCAGTGAGAGTGCTGTAGAATTGGCACTGAAATAAGACTTTGACCTGTGCATAAAGCATTGAAAGCAAATGTTTGACGGATGTTTTTGAAACCATAATCTTTAGTACTACACATGTGTCGGGCAGCTTTGATGGTCTGACATTCACACCTACACCGACATGTTCCTGTAACGCAGCAGTGAAGCCTCTCCTCCTGCTTGCTTATAGGTCAGATAATTGTCATTCTTATGTAGCGCGGCCCTGCCCAAGTTGTCTTTCCTCATCAGTTACCAAAAGGAACAGAAGTCAGAAACCTCACCCTGCATTCTAATAGACCTGTTTGTGTAGATACGGGTAAGTCGCTTCTTTTTTTTTGTCTGTTTCAGTCACATGCTAAATTTTTATTTTGGAAATGCAAGTCAGTGCACTTTTTTGTTTTGTTTTATTGCCTACCTATTTAATTATGCAGACTGGAGATTTAGGTTAGTCTTGAGTTGTGGGCAACACATGAGAATCAATTTATATTTAAATTGAAAGGTTTTAGTGAGCAGGATATGTATTCAAGTGAGACACTTAACTTTATTTGGCCCATTAGGGGAAGACTTAAGTGCTCTTGTCTGAAAATACTTTTTTTTTTTTTTTTTTTTCAAGAAATTAATGGATCTGCACAATTCTGCATGCCAGTAATTACTTAAGTTATGGACAACATTCTAAAAAAATCCAGCAACCCTGTAAAGACTTTTTTTCTGTAAAGACAAAATGTTTATATGTGTTAGTTCCTCTACAAGTTTTTTTTTTCATGTGCACAAAGCACTTTCTGTGTATGTGTTCTTGAATCAACATGACAACATAAACAACTATGACATGCAAACATAAAAATAAGCTTTCATTGTTTGGATCCTATGATACAGTAAGCGCAGAGGTGTTTTTTTTTTTTTTTTTTTTTGCTTCCTGGAACCTGCGTGACATGACTCTCAAATGTCCGGCTTTCCGAGTTTTAATGCTTGCATTCCTTATGAATGCATGGAAGGTAGTAATTTGTTTGAGAAATGCTACGCCTTTTTTATATGAACATCCTCTCCAGTAATAGCCCACTAAATAGGTTGTATGCTTTGAATCTCTTGCTGTGTGTGACCTGAATTTCTGCAGATATCCTCTTTCTACAAAGATAAAATGTCAAACTACAAAGCCATGTTTGCACATAAGATTTTTCCCGGTGTAGAGGGATTTAACCTAATCTGTCATATAATTCACACTTGCATATTAAAAATGTATATGACAGACAGTGACAAAAAGATGACAAACTTCTGCCTCTGCATTCTTAGAGGAAAAAAGAACACTATTAGCTAATTTGTTGATATGTTAATATCTTATCGCTCATATTCTAGTCTAATATTAGCCTTTTCTTCCCTTTTTTTTACTTTATTGAGTCGAGATAGTATAGAGAACTGGCAGTAAGTGAAGTGGGAGAGAGCGAGGAGGGCAGGAGCGCTAAATATCCCCGTGCGGGGACTCAAACTCACACAAACTGTGTCTCATCGCTGCTATCAGCTTGGACATCCAATATTGTTATTAAGCTAGTAAACAAGCATCTTATTGAATTATAATCAAAAATCTGGTTGAATATACCATCTTTAAACTTAGTTCCACTTTAGATTTCAGTCAAGTAGTTTTCTCTTGACACATGAGCTCAATGTCGTCATTCTTTTCTTTCCTAACAGTCTCAAGAGGAAAATGAGCGATTATTCAAACTATGAAGACTCCAACTACACTGATTATCCAGACATCTATGTTGGTATTGAGGAGCCGTGTTCAAACGAGCGCAGTGTCAACATTGAGAACTTCCTCCAGTTGTTTATTCACCCCATCATTTGTTTTGCTGGTTTCATCGGCAACACCCTCGTGATCGTAACGTATGCCTTCTACAAGCGGACCAAGTCCATGACTGACGTGTACCTGCTGAACGTGGCCATCGCTGACATCCTGTTTGTGGTGGCCCTGCCTTTGATTATCTACAGCGAGCAGTACGGGTGGACTATGGGGAACTTGTCCTGCAAGCTGCTGCGTGGCATCTACAGTGTGAACCTGTACAGCGGCATACTGCTCCTGGCTTGCATCAGTGGAGACCGATACCTTGCCATTGTGCAAGCCCGCCGCTCGTACCGGCTGCGTTCAAGCACTCTGCTTTACAGCCACCTGATCTGTGCGTTGGTCTGGATTATGGCCTTGCTTCTCTCTCTTCCAACCTTTGTGTTTTATGAGCGTTACCAACCTCACCTAAATACAACCAGCACTGGAAACAGTACTGACAGCGACGACATGCAGTATGTGTGCTTCTTCTGGTTTCAGGAGGAAGAGACGGCACGTGCGATAAAAACCGTGGTGCCCAGCTCTCAGGTGGTGATGGGTTTCTTCTTGCCGCTGCTGATCATGGGATTCTGTTACTCCAGCGTCATCGCCACTCTCCTTCGGGCCAAGAACTTTCAGAGACACAAGGCAGTGCGTGTGGTCCTCACCGTGGTCTTTGTGTTTGTGCTCTGCCATATGCCTTACAATATAGCACTGTTGTATTACACCATCAACATATTTGAACAGCAGGAATGCAGCCATGACGAGGCCGTCTCATTGACCATGTCCATCACGAGAAGCCTGGCGTACCTGCACTCTTGTCTCAACCCCCTGCTGTACGCCTTCATTGGAGTGAATTTCAGGAACCACTTCCGAAAGATCCTACGGGACATCTGGTGCTTGGGGAAGAACTACATGTCAGCGAGACGGTCCTCACGCGTCACCACTGAAATGTACCTTTCCACGCGGCGCTCTATGGACGGCTCGACCAATGACAATGGCACGTCGTTTACCATGTGATTGGGTGCTGGAACGTTCCCTGCAATGTAACTGATAGACTGATTAGCATCAGTCAAAAATGATCATCATGTTGTTCCAAACCTGTATGACTTTGTCTTTTGTGTTCACGTTTTGACTGGAACAACATGATGGTGAGTAAATGATGACAGCATTTTTATAAGGAATGTATTTTTACTTATTTTGAGAAATTCTACCAATTACAAGCAAAAGAGGGAAAAGTGACAACCACATACAAACCATTTCCCACATTGATCTCAATGTGGTCATTCCTTCTTTGCAATGTGTAAAAATAGCAAAGTGTAAAAAGTCCTGTATATGAATTTTTTTTTTTCATTTGAAGTGCACTATATGTTGTACTAATGCAGAATATTTTTATTTTTCTATTTGTACTGTACTATTCAACTGTTGTACACATTATCTTTAACAATGCCCAATGTACCTGAGATATACACACCGTTTTATCTAAATAAATTAGGCAAAGTATTACAATATATAATGAAGGGTGACATTCTGAAATGAGAACAAGTGCTTATTTACCATATAATTCACCAAGCCCATCAAATAGATCAAACAACTGGAGTCAAACATTCTTCTTTTTATAGTATATGCATACTATTTCTGATCTGTGACATTTAACATTATTTGAAACTCATATAGGTTTGGGTGTTGTTAGAAGGCAAGAAACACAAAAGACTTGCACAGCCACATTATGCCATGACTTTTGAGATGGTACCATGTTTTTTTTCCTGGATACACCTTTACATTCCCATTTGCATTACTGTCCTCTACAAAAATGAGTCCCTTGCCGGTTACAAGTTACAGGTTGTGTTGATTTTCTCTTTCGCTCAAGCTCAAAATTGTATGTTTTCTTTGCATATCTTCACGTTTTTGCCTCTTTTACCCAAGCTTACGGTTACAGGTTAAGATATTCTTTTCCTCAAAAAATCAAGCTTGCAGGTTAACTGCTTTGCTTCAGAATGAACTTCTCCATTACGGAAAGAACACAGAACTACTTCTGTTTGTTTTGTCGTCTCCCAAAGCTCACTTCTACAATCTTTCTAGAATGAATAACTCCTTAACACCATTTAGTCTTAATTTGTGTCTGTGTGATTTATAGACAGAACTCACACAGCTCTTACTGTCCTTTACAGAAAAAGAAGCTTTGGAGCTCCATGAGGGTACGGAAATGATGACTGAATTATTTCATTACACTTTTTAGGTGAAGTGAACTATCCCAAACACTTTCCTTGTTAAACCGCAAGAGACTGTGGTGGTGTGTTTTACCAGAGAATCTTAACTTCATTTGAGTGCTGAGTAAAAGCATCCTTTGTTGCCCCCTATTGGTATAGAACTTAAGAGCACAGAGAGCTAGTTATTTTATAACAGAGACAAACATAACCAACATTTTAAGGAAGCTATTTCATTCAAATAAAATAAAATAAAAAATCTTATCGTGACAGATACAGATAGATAGCTGTTGCTACATTAAAATGATCATTAATTAAAATCTTTATTCTCAGTATGGGATAAGACTGACGATGATTATTCATAATATACACTTCCATACACTTTTACTGATTAAATACATGTGGTAGGCCTTATCATGTTCTCGAATAGCTCTTTTACTTCCACTTTTATGCAAAACACTACAACACATTATTTATTTATTTTTCTTTCTTTTTTTTGGGGGGGGGGGGGGGTAATACATTTTTATTTTATGAAATTCTTAATATTAATAAATGCAGAATCATGTAAGGTTTTGAAGCTCTTGTAGTCGAACAATTCTACGTCATGCTGCCGGAAGTTCCGGCGGAGCAGGGCGGAAGTAGGTACGTGGCTGCTTCAGCTGACATTCTGCACGATGGCGACAGAGGTTCAGAGCGGCGACCTCAACAGTGCAAATTCAAGCCGGCTCGAAGTTTCTATCGACGGTTTGACTCTAAGCCCGGATTCCGAGGGCGAGCAGGAACAGGCCGAGACGCCCGCCGCCCGCTCGGTGGACCAGAACGCTGACAACCATGTGAGTGTCGATGGAGAAGAGGGCGAACCTGCCATCGAGAAGAAATGGGGCTTTGATTTAATCGAGCTCTACGGGCTGGCGCTCAGGTTCTTTAAAGGTATTTTATATCACTATGTACACTAATGTTGACTTATATTGAACACAAACATTCGTTAGCACGGTCATCTCTGTGCTACAGTTTGAATTTGCACATTTGTTTAGAGCTAGTGTGGTCGTGGTTTTCTTATTAATGTCCTTTTCATTCTTAGTATTTGGTCTAAAAAAGAAGTTCTGCTTATACAGGTCTTGTAGTTCAGTTCACTTCTATCGCAGTGTTCAAGGGTTCAGGTCCTCTAGAGGAACTGCCCTAACCGGTGACAGCACCACTGTGTGTCTGTGTCATGTGCCTGACTGATGGTTTAAACTCATAAAGACTATGAAAGATTGCATAAATATTCAAAATAGACAAGTGAACTACCAGTGCTGAATTGGCTTGGTCTCTTTGTCAGTGAGGTATGTTAGTTCAGCACTTTTAGGTTTTGTCCAATAAAATGTTTAATCATTTTCTCAGGCTACACCCATTTCTTTTCTGTGGGCTAATGATGAATGAAGTATGGTTTTGTGTGTCCATCAGCTGTATAGTCTAAGTGCTGCAACTCTCTAATTATGCACTACTGATGTCTCAATCAAGCTGATGTCTAATGCCATGAATGCATCTTGCTCTTGGCTTTCAAAGCATGCACAAAAAAGTCTTTTACACAATTTACAGAAAAATCATAATAATCTTTTCATGATTTTGACATGATCTCTATTGACTGTATCTGTATTGTATTCATGTGCATTAGCTGACATTCTAAAATAAAGTAGAGTATAAGTAATAGAAATGAAAAACTTGCAGTTAAACATAATATATGTATTTTAGTAAGTCATGTGACCATCAACCGACATCAGAGAACATTGAACATGCAAATGAGTACTTCAAGTAATTTTTTTTTTGTCAAAGGCATTCAACTATCAAAAATGTTTGGAAATCCCAGTTCTAATGTAATGAGAACCATTTGCATTTTTAAAGCCACATATATGTGATCTTTTTCCTCAGAGAAGGATGGGAAAGCCTTCCACCCGACCTATGAGGATAAACTTCGTCTGGTAGCCCTCCACAAGCAGGTGTTGCAGGGGCCTTACAACCCAGATGCTTCCCCTGAGGTGGGCTTCTTCGACGTGCTGGGAAACGACCGCAGGTAAGAGCCTTGACCTTAATGTGCCTCCCGGGTGTTAGTCACATTAGCAATTTTAATGAATATGCGTTATTTTAAATATTTATTTTTAGAAGAGAATGGGCATCTCTTGGCAACATGGAGAAGGACGAGGCCATGCTTGAGTTTGTAAAGCTGTTGAATAAATGTTGCAATTTATTTGCACCTTTCGTCGCATCACACAAGATTGAAAAGGAGGAGCAAGAGAGAAAGAGGTCAGACTTGCAGATAAAGATAATTGATTTTCTTTCTTTATCTTTTTGCTGTCACACACTTTTATTTTGGACTTGTTTACAGTTTTACACTTTAACCAGGTGGGTCTCTTGAGATATACTCTTCTCTCAGAGATCCACCGTGTCCAGAAAAAATAATTGGTCTCCAATAAAGAATTGATCACTCTAAACAACATGTTTAAAACCTGAACACTCTGTTACCTCACGGATGTCTCTCACAGTGTGAATGTTGTCTTGTTTTTGCTGAGAAGGCAGGAGGAAGAGGAGCAGCGGCGCAGAGAGGACGAAGAGCGTGAGCGACTGCGTCAAGAGGAGGAGAGGCGCAGGCGTGAGGAAGAGGAGAGGCTGAGGAGAGAAGAAGAGGAAAGAAGACAAGTCGAAGAAGAACGACTCCGTGTAGAGCAGCAGAAGTGAGTCACAGCAGTTTAATTATTACAGAACTGAACTAAAACTACATGTACAGTACACTACACCACTTTTGCCAAGATTTTCCTCCCAATTCTCAGTCTGGAGGAGTTGCGGTGGGCAGGTCATGTAATCTGTGTACAGCTGAACTAACACCGACTATCACAGCAAGCCCACTTCAACTATGATTCCATTCAGTCTGAGAATATTGTTTTCATTTGTCTTGCGTGTCTTTATAGCAAGGCGTGTGTTTCTGCATGAGTTTGTTGTGTTTGGAATGATTTTGAAGGTCTGGTAGTGTGTGATCCTCAGTTGTTTAGTCTATGATGCCCAGTTTTTCTCAGTAAACATTTACAAAGTTAGTACTTTTTTAGTACCGATATGCTATGCGACCCTAGAGAGGTTCCACATACTTTATTGTGCGCATTTTTTTCTCTCACTTTCTCTGGTGTGTTAGGCAGCAGATCATGGCTGCGCTCAATGCGCAGACAGCGGTGCAGTTCCAGCAGTATGCAGCGCAGCAGTACCCCGACAGTCCCGAACAGCAGCTCATCCTCATCCGGCAGCTGCAGGAGCAGCACTATCAGCAGTACATGCAGCAGCTGTATCAGGTACAGCTCGCTCAGCAGCAGGTGAGGAGGACCCAGCAGTCATTCTCTCATTCACATACATCTACATTGCTTTTGTGATCCTTGATTGCATTTACTAAATCTACACTACCGTTCTTAAGTTTGGGGTCAGTAAAACTTTTTTTTCTTCAGTTTGTCACTTTTATATAAAATTTAAATAACAGTAAATAATGTTAAGTAATTGTACCGGTAAATAATGTAACAAAAGATTTCTGTTTAAAATGAATGGTGTTCTTTTGAGCTTTCTATTCATCAACAAATCGTGAAATAAATGTGTCATGTTTTCCACAAAAACATTAATTAGCATAAGTGTTTTCAACATGTGATAAGAAATGTTTCTTAAACACCAAATAAGCATATTAGAATGATTTCTGAAGGCTAAAGTAATGGCTGCTGAAAATCAGTTTTGCCACAGGAATAAAGTACATTTTAAAATATACATTCAAATAGAAAATAGTTGTTTTAAATTGTAATACTATTTCAAGTCGATAAGCCTGTTTATTTACACAGTGATGTGAATAAGTTTGAACACCCATGCTAAAGTTACCTAAAAAGAGGAATAAAAAAAATCATCTTTTGGATATTGATCTTAATGCCTTAATTAGAAAAAATGAGGAAAACTCCAACCTTTAAGGACACAAATTTTCTTTGTGAATGAAAAATGTATCATAAATAAATAAATGTTTTTCCTTAAAATACAGGGTGCATAAGTCAGGACACCCCTATGTTAAATTCCCATAGAGTCAGGCAGATTTTTATTTTTAAAAGCCAGTTATTTCATGGATCCAGGATAATATGCATCCTGATAAAGTTCCCTTGGCCTTTGGAATTAAAATATCCCCACATCATCACACACCTTCCACCACACCTTGAGATTGGCATGGGGTACTTTCCATAAGATCATCTTTCAATGCAAATCAAACCAGCTATTAGGCTAACTGAAGTAAAACCATGCCAATCT